CGGCGCTTGGCTCAGAGCAGGCATCCCATGCACAGGAGCACCCCTGGATGAAAGAACGACTGAATGAATGAATGAAGGGACGAACGAATCAGTGAATGGATTTGAAGAGGCAATAGGGGAAAGCAGACAGCGTGGCGAAAGCAGTAAAATCTAGCTGCTGAAGCTGTGCCAGCTGGAGAGAGGCGAAGTGGGCCAGGGCTTGGTGGCAGTTGCTGAAGGCAGAGGGGTAAGGAGGTGCCTGTCCATTCGCCCGGACCCTCCCACCCTCTGGGACTTCACTACAGTCTGGCTGTGCTTCCCCCACCCAGGGCACAGCGCGGAGGAAGGAAGATCAGGAAAGGAGAGGAGGCGCAGCCTAGGGAAAACTGTCTAGGGAAAACTGTCCTCCGGTGGCAGGCATCCTTATTGCCAGCAGCCAGCGGCCAGGCCCCCAAGTGTGCCTGGAGGGAGACCTCGCACCAGCCCTGGCTTCATCTTGCAGGTTCCCAGTCTGCTGAAAAGCCACCCAGCCACCCGTGCTGCCGCAGGCACATGTCAGCCAGAGAGTTTTGGTTTGACGTAGCCGGCCTCCTCCTTTTCCTTAATGCAGCTGAGGGAGCCCAGTGAGGCTCCGGGAAGCTGCTTACTGGGCTCATCGGGTCTCACACAGGATCCAGAAACTTCTATTTGGGGGGGGGACATCTGAGATAAGAAATGTCTCTCTGCTTCTATCCAAAGTGTGGCTAAGAGAAACCAGGGCCATGATTTATAACAGAGTAGCCTTCGTGCAACTCAGTCCTCAGGGAGTAAGGGTCAAAAGATCAGAGGGGAGGTGGCCTGGCAGGGGGGAGGCAGTGGGGAGAGATCTCTAAGAACCTCCCATGGCTCCCTTGGGCCTCCAAATGCCCATGTGCTGCAAAAGAGTAAATCTTCCCCAGGAGCCAGGAAAAGCCTGGGAAGCTGAAACTCAGAGAGGTGTTTTGCAGAATACACATGCCAATATCAAAGACGGGCTATTTAGGGGAGCAAAGCCCTTTTTTTGGCATTTCTACCCAGTGCCATTTACCCCTGAATTTTTTATTAGACAACACTCAATCACCTACCCTGCTGGGAGAGGCAGTGTTATAAATAATCCAAAGGAAGGTGGTTTGTTTTTGCCATTGGAACGTCTCACTGAGGCCCCGGAGAGCTTCCCGAGGTAGTCTGCCTTAAAGCCTCACTTCTTAAAGTGTGGTCCCTGGACCAGCACCGTCAGCATCACAGCAGTGGGGGGGGGGAAGAAAAGCAGATTCACAGGGCCCACCTCCTGCCCAAGAAACCACAATCAGCATTTGTAGTAAGATCTCCGGGTGATTCTTGAGCACATTCAAGTGTTGACTTCAACTCATATGAAAAGGTTTGCATCCGTGGGCAGGGGGCAAGGAGAAGCCAGGTTCAGGGGCTGGGGAGAAGGGATTGGTGAGCAGGCACAAGCTTAGGACGAAAGGCTGGTGGCGCGATCTGTGGAGCACCCAGCTGCCTGGTGAGGAATAACCAAGGGAGGGACCCATTTTTACTCTCCTCTCTTCTCCGCCCCATGCCCTCCTCCGGCCATGGCGCACCGGGCAGTTTCTCTTACCCAGGGCTGCACAGGTTGCTGTCCTTGCCTTTGCTGGCTCCTCTTCCTGGAATGCCCTTCCTCTAGTCTGTCCAGCAACCTCCTAGTCCTTCTTCAAAAAGCTGCTACAAACGCCCACTCCTGGTCCTGTACGGACCTCTTCTCTCTGTGTGCCTGTGACACGGGGTACATTCACTCTGTTTATCAACTCTCTCATTCAACAAACTCAAATATCTACGTAATGTCCCACATGTGCCGCAGACTCGAGGCTAGAAGCTAGCGACTCAGACATGAATGAGATACAGCTCACCTTCTGAGCGCTCACATTCTACGTAGGGAGACAAAGGTATAAACTCCCCTCTGCAGGGGGCGCAGGAACAAAGGCACACCTGGTATTGCTTGGGTGTCAGAAAGTATTGTCACCATTTGTTTACACATCTTACCTCCCCAACGAAACTACAGCTCTTTAAGGACAGGGACTGGGTCTTATTCAGAGTTTGAGCCAAGCCTTTACTTGTCCCTGAGCACATGAGAATAAATGTAGACATCTGGGGAAAGGGCAGAAACTCCATCAGCCAGAACTTATGCAGCCCAGTAGCTGTTCCACACCTTTTCCAGGAATCCTATTTAACAAAGGAAAGAAGGGAAAGGGAATTCCAGGCAGGAAAACACCAAGAGCAGAGGCTGAGAAGCAGGAAAGACAAAGGTATATGGGGCAGAGGGTTCCCTCATGAAAAGAAAATGAGAGGTATGGATGGGTAGACAAGATGGTACTCAAACTCAGAAGGCCACCAGCACATGATCTGAAAGTCCTGGGAGAGGCAAATCACTGTTGTTCTCACCATCTATAAAATAGAAAAGATCTTCACTTTCCGAGAAGACTCTGAGTTCCCTTATTTTTTGATAAAGAAGGTATGTTTGGGGAGCGGAGTTTTACAGAAGTGGTAACGGATCGCCTGGTCTCCCTTGAGGAAGACAGAGCACATTTGCAAACCAGCTGGCTGGGACAGAGGTCAGTAGTGCTTAGAAACTCTGTTTATTCTTAATAAGAGGATACCTGGTCTGTGTGGGGATAAAACCCGCAGCCCAAGGTTCTTTGGCTCCGAGAAACTGAGCTAAGTCAGCAAGATCCCTTCCAAACGTGAGCACGCGCGCGCACACACACACACACACACACACACACACACACACACACCCCTAGTGTTTTATAAAAAAAAAACTGCCAATGTAGACATGGAAACATACTGACTGGCCAAAAGGAGAAAAAGTGGGGTGGCCATGAAGAACAAAGACAAAGGACTAGCCAAAGTCCAGCCCTTTCTGGGGGGCACATCTCCAGGTCCCCAATGAACAGGCTCAAGTGTTTCCAGTTCTGGTGGCCAAGCGCTGAGGCTGCTAGCTCCTACATTACTCATGGGCAGCCCCACCCCCTCCACCCTTTCCAGACCAATTTCTGTTGGCAATAGCCTGCGTACTTCTGGAAGCCTTTGAACATGGGAGCATCTGGTGTTCTAAGAACTTAAAATAGTACAAATTCAAGTAAGAGAACTGCTTGCTAAAAGGTCTACTACAAGGAGCTCCATCTTGCATGTCTCTGGCAGCTCTTCTGCTGTCTGAACAGGCTCCCCTTGGAGCTGTGCAAAACCCTTCCCTCAGCTCAGCTTCAGAGCTCTCTCTTCCTTTGGATGGGATAGAGGGGTTTGGGTGTGTTGGGTTCAAGGGCTTCCTCCCCACAGAAATAAAAGTTAATGAGCGATGGGGGCCAAATCACTAGAAGAACACGTTGGAAGGGGATGGAGGGCCCACACTAGGCCCTAGCATCTAAACCACCTCATGTAGTCACCACAAAAAACTCTGTGAGTCTCCATTTTACATATAGGGAAACGGCCTCAAAATCCTGAAGTCAACTGTTGCTATATTGAAGAAAGAGCAAAAGGCAGAACCAGGCTTGTTTGAGCTTGAAGTCCATTCCCTCAGCCATATGCCTTCATGCTCCTGGATTTAATGGACAACTGCCCCCAGGAGAATAGCATGAGGGAGTCAGCAGATCTTCTTGTGGTCCCCACGGGGCTGTTTTAGTTTTAGGCAAAATTAGCGTTCGACAGCTGTGGATTTCCACTCTCAACCTTGACTTGAATCCTGGGTATAAATGAGAAGTTTGTGGGGAGGTCGGGCTGGGAGAGAGAAGAAGGCTTCCTCTTCCTCCCCCTCAATTACAGCTGCTCCACCCGGAAAAGAAACCCAACTTTGAATGAATCAAATGCCAGTTCGGGCACGCGGAACTCTGGAGAGGGGGGTGCCCCCACTTCCCTGACTCCAGTGCCCTCCGCAGAAGCACATGGATAACTGCACAGCCCACCCTCCAGCTCCTACTCAAATTTATTCTCTTTGACCCAGAACACCAGGTGTTAAAATCACTATCCATCCACCTACCTCTGGTTCCCAAAGGCCCCGTCCACTGCAGATAATATTTGAGGAAGTAGAAAAGGACCCCTTAGCCCAGGAGAACATGTTACTTAATACCCAGAAACGAAATCACTTCCTCTCCATGAATCCTTAGGATATGAAAGAGTCCTTCTCCTCGTTCTACTCATCATGGCAACATGTGTCACTTCTCTGGTATGTCTTGGACAGGATGCATGTATCACAAACTATTGACATCCTCCTTACTGAGAGCTAACAGGGGAGAAGGAAACATTTAATGACTCTTAGCCACAGCTGCATGAGAAAAGAGGCTATAGGCCTCCAAGTAGACATCCAAGAACAGTTGGTAAAAGAGGCAATCACGGATGTGTTATGAGAGGGTCCTGATGTATGAAGAGTTAGAGGAATCCTTCAAAACTGTAGCTCCACTTGAGATTGGACCAGAAATCCATGCCCTGAAGGGCTCCGTGGGAAGGATGGGGTACAGGGAACGAGGAAGGGCCTCGGCAGTTGAGGAAAGCAGGCCTGAGCAGAGCCCAGGCTAAAAATGGGAGCCCAGAACCAAAGGATCTTGAAAACGAACCTCATTAAATCTTACCACGGCACCAAATGTATAGGAACCTCACCTTTCAGACCAAGAGTTAACTCAGTGGCCATCTACTTTGGGCAACCTCACAAGCTCCACTTTTGAAAACAACAGATGCCCAAACTCCATGAAGCAGGCCTCTGGTGAGGCCCAGGAGAGAGCCGCCAGCCATTCTGGTAGCACCCAGGCCAGCAAGTGCAGGGTTAGATCCTTGAGCTGTATCCACACCCCGCTCCAACCCACTCAGCCCCACGCTGTCCCAGGGCCCGAACTGGCCCACACCGTGTTGAGTCACAGAATGGCTCTCCTGCAGTCACTTCAGTTTGATGGACTCCTGACTATAAATTCCTCACCAAAGACTCCACATCCCCCTCAACCGGAAGGGCGGTGGTGGGGGGGGGGGTACAAACAGGATGATTTCCACAAGCCACGTTTATTTAGGGGTAATTTGTCAAATGAGCCATTTGGGTTGGGTTTTATTTCTGTGATTCTTCCCAGTAACCCATCCACGAAGACCAGCATCCAAGTGGAGGACCCACTGGAATGGGTGAGGCCGTTGCAGACGCCCGGTCGGGGTCCCCAGAGCCAGGGTCCCGCTCCGGAAGGACCGCCTCCATGCTTCTCGCCATCGGGGCCTGTTCCTCCTGAGCTGTCCGGTCTTTCTGCCAGGTTCTGAACCCTCCTTCTTCAGCCTTTTGATCAATGAGGCAGGAAACCAACTGGGTTGGGGACAGGGGTCCGGAAAGACCAGGACAGTGACTCAGGACACACAGAGGGAGAGTCTCTGCCCCTGCGAAGGACAAAAGGAGATCTCCTTTCTTCTCAAAAGGCTGACTTTGGTGTTGGAATTCCCCCAGCGGACTTTTCTCCAGGCGGGCTATTCGGGGCTGACCTCAGAGAAGGCCACACTGGGTGCTGTGGGGGGGGGGGGGGGGGGGGGGGGGGGGGGGGGGGGGGGGGGGGGGGGGGGGGTGGAGAGGCAAGACACAGAGCCCACATGTAAGTATTTTGATCCTAATAGTTACCATTTTTGAACTCCTTCCGTCAATCTGGCCCAGTTCTGAATTTCACAAGCACTGACTCTTTAGATCCTCACCACCTGGGAGGGACGTAGTCTTCTTCTCATTTTAAGGATGAGGAAACGGAGGCTCAGAGAGGCTAAGTTACCTGCCCAGAACCATCTAGCTTCTAAAGCACAGAGCCAGGATTTGGACTCGGGTCTGTCCGGCTTCAAAGCTCGTGATGTCAATCACTGTGCCATACAGCCTCGGAAAGGGGACACAGCATGGTGCTCTCTTCACTGAAATAAATGTGATCGATTCAACAACAACATCAAAAATCACAGGCTTATTGCTATCACATCTATACCTGTGGTCTCAAACAAATGGCCTGCGGGCCAAAATCCATCCAGAGGCTTACTAATTTGGCACACGGTCTTTAAAATAACTTGGGGCACCTGGGTGGCTCAGTCGGTTAAGCATCCAACTTCGGCTGAGGTCATGATCTCACAGTTTGTGGGTTTGAGCCCCGCATCAGGCTCTATACTGACAGCTAAGAGCCTGGAGCCTGCTTTGAATTCTGTGTCTCCCTCTCTCTCTCTGACCCTCCCCTGCTCACACTCTCTCTCTCTCTCTCTCTCAGAAATAAATTTTTAAAAACATTAAAAAAAATAAAAATAATTTTTAAAAAATTATAAAATAACTTGACCAGGGGCGCCTAGGTGGCTCAGTCGATAAAGCGTCCGACTTCAGCTCAGATCATTATCTCATGGTTTGTGGGTTTGAGCCCCGCATCAGGCTCTGTGCTGACAGCTCAGAGCCTGGAGCCTGCTTCAGATTCTGTGTCTCCTCTCTCTCTGCCCCTCCCCTCCTTGCACTCTGTCTCTCTGTCTCTCTCTCAAAAATAAATGAACGTTAAAAAAATTATTTTTGATAAGATAATTTGGCCAGCCCCTAAAGGCCTTTGAGTTCTGTGGCTTTGGCCTCTCAGCCCACTTGCTTGATTTGGTTCTGTTTCAAGAGGATGGAAGTGCATCTTCCAGTTTCAATCCAGGTGCCTACACTGAACACGGGGAAGGTAGACCCGAGTTCCTGCAAATAGTGTCGTCCAGGTGATGACACGCTCAGCAGCAGCGACCACATGGCTGTCATCGGCAGGTCTCTAAGAGGCCGGACAAGGCCTGGCAGGGACGGCAGCATCACACGGCAGTAGCAAGAGAAGGACAGAGGGGTAAACATGGCTACACGCAACTTCAGAGCCGAGCTCCTGTTTCTCTCGGCGGAACCGGGCCAGGGCCCTGATCTCGCACTTCCTTGGCAGGGTCTTTCTCTGCTGCCGTCATCCGGGAGTCATGAGTTCTCAGTGACGGGGACAATCACAGACCATCACTCCCCAAACAGCAGAGGCCGGCTTCTGGGGCCCAGCAAAACACTGCTCCTCTCATGGCTGGTGCGCCTACAGTTAGCCTGCAAATAGCACCGTGCCCGTCGCCGGCTCACCCCGCCTGTCCTTACTCCTACTCACTGCACACCAGGTGCCTTTTCTACGTGCTGTACTTCCTTGGGGAGTGGAGGGAGGGGAAAGAAGGAATCCGACTCCATAGTATTATACGGAATGCAGCACACGGCCTTCCTGGTGATCAGAGGATGTCTGAACATCGTGAGTCATGGAATTTAAAAATGTAAGAGTTTAAAATGTAAGACTCTTGATCTTGGCACAGGTCATGATCTCACGGTTCGTGAGTTCGAGCCCCGAGTCTCCTCTCTGCACTCCTCCCCTACTTGTTCTCTCTCTCTCTCTCTCTACTACACCATCAAAATAAATAAACTTTTAAAGATTTTTTAAAAATAAAAAGTTAAAGGATAAAAATGGAAGAATTGGAAGGGACTCTGGGATAGGAGGGAAGATTGCAACACAACGTTTGTCTGAGGAGCTACAGTACCCACCTTATTAGGGTGTGTTGAACCTCTAAGAGGCAGGGAGGGCATTCGCTCATCTCTGACAAAGGTGCCTCTTCTCGCCACTAAGATCCATCACCGTTGGCCCCAAGGACCCTTACTACTGGAGACTGGCCATGAGGGCAAGACTGGTGTTACTCTTCTGCCCAGCAGGGCTTCAGCATCTGAGACGTCCCTACTACTTAGAAAAATCTCTGCCCTCATCAGATTGACGTCCCCAGGTGACCTAGCCATGCCCACCACCTAGGAGTCTGCCATATGCTCGCCAGCTCCTTCTCCACTGCCCGGACCACTCTCACCATGGTCATGTAGGTGGCCTCTGCTCTTCCACTTGAGTCTTCTTCCTCAATCAGCTCACGTGTGGTTACTGAGGAGTAAACATGTTTCTAGAGGGGGAGGAAATGGTATAAATGTTCCTAAAAATCAGCAAATGTTACATGCCAGAGAAAAAGGCCTTCTACTACTATTCACAGGGCAGCAACACCAGACGGTTATTGAGAGCTAGAAAATTATCATCGATAATGGTAATTCAGTCCCCAGTCTTCCCGAAAATTAAGAAAACTGGCTAGTCAGCAAAGAGCGCTATCTTAAGAACCACATTCTTTGCTTCAAAAGAGAAACATCTTTGGATGGCCATTTAGGGAACAGCAGGAAATTCTTATCTTGCCAGATTATTTGTACTATGTGCTTATTTCCTTCTAACTAGAGGCATGGCAGAATGGCATTGAGCAGCAGCTAACTGGGGTCATCGCTTTGACAGGGCGGATGCGGCAGGGACAGCCCTCCCTGAACCTCACATCTGTGAGGTCTGCCAGCTGTACTTTTCCTGTCACTATCTAGGCAGGCGATCTCATCCAGTGACAAGTTCTTGGGCTTCTGGAGGCTCCTGTTGTGACAAAATCCTACTCTTGGGTCATAAACAGGACAAAAGATGGAAAAGTAAATATTCGAAGAAGAGTTTTTAAAGGGAGGGAGAAGGGAGGGAGGGGGAAGGGAGGAAGGGATGGGAAGGGAGAGAGAGAAGGGAGGGAGGGAGAAGGGAGGGAGGGATGGAGGGAGGGGGAAGGGAGAGAGGGAGGAAGGAAAAAAGGAAAGGAAGGGAAATTCAAGGAAATGAATTCATTTCTCAGTCTCTAATAGCGATTATTTTTAGCTCCATTACAAACTAATATGGAAGAGGGGCGCCTGGGTGGCTTAGTCGGTTAAGCGTCCGACTTTCGCTTAAGTCATGATCTCACGGTTCGTGGGTTCGAGCCCCGCGTCGGGCTCTGTGCTGACTGCCAGCTCTGAGCCTGGAGCCTGTTTCAGTCTGTGACTCCCTCTCTCTCTGACCCTCCCCTGCTCATGCTGTCTCTCTCTCTCTCTCCTAGAAATAAATAAAACATAAAAAAAATTAAAAAAAAAAAAAAAAACTAATATGGAAGAGCTTCTTCTTGATCCTTCTACTGAAGGCCCCCGAATATTTCATCTGAACTGTTGAGTCCTTCACCTAACTCCTGAAAGCACCACAATTCTCCCTCACGGCTGCCATAGATTAAGAAGCTCTTGCAGATCATCAGGTTATCTGAATTTACAACGGGACAGATATGTTTGTCCTCATCCTCATCTCACTGGTGAGAGAAGTGTGGCTTGAATGGGGATTTTCTGGCTCTAAGTCCAGTGCTCCTTTCTCCAGCTCTACCAGGGGGCCCCACAGCCCCACCACACTGCCACCTTGGGGACTCTCACTCGTGTAATGAAGACTTCCTGAGCCCCTGCCCCGTGCCCAGCGCTGGCCGGCGTGCTGAGACACGACACTGAGTGAGACGGTTCACAGAGGAACTGACGACACCCCCTCCAGGCTGGAGCCCAGTTCACCCCACCCCGCACCCCACCCGCAGCAGAACCACAGAGTCCTTCCCTTACCTCTGGATCAGGCTTCTGAATGTTCTCCAGGCTTTTTACCAGGGTTGTGGGTGCTCCTGAGCTGCAAGGCATGAAAGTCAGGGCAGTTACCTGGGCAGCACAGGAGACCCCACAGAGCTTTGTGAAGGGGGCGGGGGGGGGGCCACAGGGGAGGAAGGTCCACCGCCAGCACCACCCAGCTCGCATTGAAACCTGAGGAGAGCGTCTCCCTGATGGAGAGCAGCAAGGGATTCTGGAGACAGTCTGGGCTGAACAACAGCTTTGACTTCGCTGTTGTCTAACATCTTTCTGCCCACACACTTTCAAGTGAACTAACAGTGAGGGCGGCGGGAGGAGAGTGTATCCTAACCGAGGACTAGGGAAACGTAGCTGAACCAGCAGGGGGCGACAGAAGCTCAGCGACACCCAGTTACAAGGGTTCTTGGCCACCCAGGGGAGGAGGCCGAGCAGAATCAGAGCCACGGGCTCCCTGAGCTGCCAGCTCTGGCCCCTTCCCAGCCCTTGGCCTTTGATCTCTTGACCATCTGCCCTCTGCATCTGCCACTGAATACACTTCCTTTTTCTCTGCTCTGGCCTAGGGAAGAGCTAAAAAAAAAAAATCAGGGTTGAAGCTAGAAACCAGGTGTTTTTTGTCTTTATGTGGAGAAGGTATTTCTCTCCTCTTATCCGATCATAAAGCTGTGTGTTCTCATTGTAAAATAAGTCAAATAATAAAGAAACAGAGAGGGGTGCCTGGGTGGCTCAGTCGGCTGAACATCCGTCTCTTGATTTTGGCTCAGGTCATGATCTCAGGGTTCATGAGTTCGAGCCCTGAGTCAGGCTGGGTGCTAACAGCACAAAGCCTGCTTGGGATTCTCTCTCTCTCTCTCTCTCTCTCTCTCTCTCTCTTTCTCGCTCTCTCTCTCTGCTCCTCACCCCCCCCACACACACACACAAGTACGCTCTCTCTCAAAGTAAATAAACAAAACATTTTTAAAAATAAAAGAAACCTAAAAAAACATTAAAAAAAAATTAAAAAAAAATAAATAAATAAAAGAAACCTAAAGAGTTGGAAATTGAAGTTCCAGTAAATCTCCTACCCTTCATGGGACCCAGCTTCTCTTTTCTCCCAAATAGCACTACTAATACTTGGGGATTATTCTTCCAAACTCTCTGAATACAGGCCTAAGCGCACTCTCACAAATATATTTATTGTATATAATTTTCTTTTCTATAAAAATGAGATCATATCATATATTCTGTAATCCTGCTCCCAGGACATTTTTCCATGTTGTTACATTTGGGATTGTGTCATGTGTCACCGAATGGAACACCTATACTGTGAATCATTACCTTTCTGACAGTCACTGAGGATGATTTCCGTGTTCCGTTATCACCGCTGCTATAGCAACTGTGTTTACAAATCTCAGCATAGCAGTCTGATTATGTCCTTAAGGTAAGCTAGTAGACGCGGAAGTACTGATCTCATTTTGTGGGAAACGGAGGCTCAGAGTGGACAGGCGAGTTGATGTGGTTGTCTAACTCTTGGCTCAGTGCCACGTGCATGACCAGAGCAAACACCCTCGGAGCGGCCGACCAAGTTCAAACCGAGTCAGAGAGGCCCTGGGGAGCGGAGGTGTAAACCCAGAAGGCACAAGCACTTTGTGTGGAAGGTGTGTTTTATGGGGAGAGGAGACCCGGAAGCCAGCACTCCTTAGTCTGAATGGGGGCTTTTGCCCACTGGCAGCATTTCAACAAGAGAGCCAACTTGCCCTAGCGACAGATTTCGTCATCAACACTTGGCTAAATGGAGGGCCACGGGCCTGCCAGTGGCCACTGAAACACGGCTGCCACGTCAGAGCACCAAGAACTGAGCTTCTGTGTGAAGTGTATGTTGCGGATAATCCAAACACCATTCCTCTCAGGCACCGAATGGCACAATTACAGCTCTTGCAAAAGATTTATACTCAATAATGCTCTCCTTAGGCCGCCATTTATGAAAGAGCTGATAATCTTTGTGAAATGCCAAAGTGAGTGAAGAGGGCGTAGGGATGTGTGAGGCCTTTCTGGAGCGCAGTGAACAGGGGGGTGGGGTCCCCATCTAGACGAGATCTAATTTGACAACCACAGATGATTCTGATTTAAAGTAACCCCCTTGTGTGAAAATGGCCCTATCATGCTTCCACTCCAGGTTAGAGGCACCATCAGCGTCCCAGCCCAGCCCTTTACCTCTTATTCCTGTGGGTTTTCTTCATGATCAATATCAGGACAGGAAGCAGGAGGATCGTGCCGCAGACAATCCCCACGATGATCACCAGCTGATTCCCACCCAGGAGCTCAGGTCTGAGGGCTGCTGGGGTCACCAGTGCTTGGGAAAGGAGAAGAGCAACGAGAGCGTCTCAATATTTCAGGAAAAGAGCTGAGGGTCCCACAAGTTCTCTACCAAGTAGCAACAGCCAAGTTAGGGAGCTGGAGGAGAAAGCCAGACTCCACCCCATGTTGAAACCCTAGGATTCCAGCTGTCCCCATTAGGTGGAAAACCAAGCCTGGCTCCCTTGCTCACCCCTACAGTATAGATCAAGGCGGGTGGGAGAAGAGACTAGCACCTTACCTACAGCAGAGTTTCCTTTTACATTAAAAATCTATCTTAAAATAAAATAACAGATGTTTTAGAGGCTGTAGATCTTTCTATGAGAAAGTGGTTGGTTTCGGAAGGATAGATGCTATAATACCCAGCCTCACAGTCAGAATCTCGAGTAAGTCCCTCCACTTCTAACCATATGGTACCCTTCATCCATTTCCTCATTTCCCTCTGAATACATACAGAAACACCTCCTGGGGGCCGGATATCACCAGGCACAGAAGCCACAAAGACAACGCGTGGTCCCTAATCTCAGGGAGAGAGACAAACACATCAACAGAGAACCACCGACTGCCCTAGGTGCCATGATGGAAGGTGCCACATGGGGCACGGAAGGGCACAGAGGAAACAGGGTACCCAGTTCTACGGGAGGCAGATAAGGATTTCTCAGCAAAAGTTTTCAAGTTTAAAACTTTTAAGGAAACACCAAGTTTGTTGGGCAGACAATATGGGAAAGGATGGTGGTGCACATTACGCACAGAGTCTGGAGGGCCGACAGAATGGTACGCTCAGAAACTAGAAATAGTTCCGTGGGTCTGGTTCAAGGCTGCATTTGTGGGCACAGTAGAGAATTCGGCCGGATAGATAACAGAGTCTCAGTCATGAAGGGCCTTGATGAGCCCAGCCAAGAGTCTGGCTTTTTTTTGGTAGACAATGGAGAAACCACTGGAAGATTATTAGCACCAGACAGAATGTGGAGCTCTGTGGCTTACAGGATGGTGCCGAGAGCCGCAGGAAGAATGAGAGCTGGGCCCGAGGATGAGAGCAGACACTCACTAGAGGCTCACAGGCCAAGCCAGAGAGGAAGACAGCCAGAGCAGGTGCAGCGCTGGGAAGAAGGCAGACTCAAAATCAGTAGCAGACACGACAGAACTTGTTGACCTGTTAGATTGGAGGTCACGGGAAAGGGAAGGGTCAGGTACAAGCCCAGGCATCCGGCTAGGTAACTGCAGGTGGCAACGGCGTTAACTGAGGCAGAAGAGAGGGGCTGGGGAGATGTGAGCAGGGGCAGGTTTGGATATGTTGCATTTGAAGAACTTGTGGACCATCTGGCTAGAATTTGGATGTGAAGGAAGGAAGGAGAGAAGGAAGGGAGGAAGGAAGGAAGGAAGAAGGAGGAGGGAGGAAGGGAAGAAGGGGGGACAAAGGAGGGAAGGAGGGAGGAAGGGCAGAAGGGAACCCAACATAAACTATACTGAACAGAGAGAGGACACAGCGTCCACTCCTACTCGGGTAAAGGCTGCTGAGGATGGGCGGCTAGATCACCACTGGGGTGCGAGCCAGAGCAGAGGCAGAAGCCGAAGCCGGGATGTGTTGTGCTAAGGAATTAATGGAGCTGAGACCAGAGACCCCACATTCGGCCACTGAGCAAGCTACCAGGCTAAGTCAAGAAGGAAATACATGACTGATTGCAGTGACGGTTGCACAACTCTGAATATTCTAAGAACCACCGAGTCGTATGCTTTCAATGGGTGAGTTGTATGGTATGTGTACTGTATCTGTTTTAAGGAGAAAAAAAAAAAAAAAAAGACAGGATGATTGCTAAAGTAGATGAGGGCAGAAGGTGGGAGGAAGAGCTGAGTGTATTTATAGGCTGGGGAGCAGAAGCCGGTAGAAAGTACGAGGTTCCTGAGCGGGAGAAGATGCCACCTGAGCACAGAGGTTCAGTTAAGCTCGGGATGCGGGGGCGGGGAGCCAGGGGAGGGGGAGGGGCGGACAGAGGTAAGGGGGAAGGCAGATGGAGGCAAGCCCGTGGCTGGGGAAGGGCTTGGAGGTTGAGTGAGCTCCCGCTACTGGCGTGTATTTTCTCTGGGAAGCGGAAAATAAGACTTCATATTTGCGAGGAGGTGAAGAAACCCACGTATCCTGCTTCGCTCTCCGGCTGGGACCCTTTGCTGTTACAAGGAGGTGCTTCTGTCGACTCAAATCTCTGGTCAGAGGCACTGAGGTGCATTCCAACCTCACCCATGTCCCCGCCCCAACAAACCACAGCCAACCCCCAGCGAAGGCTCTAGCAAAAAGGCAATGTCCACAGGCCACATCCTGACTGCTAACCATGTGCCGGTTTAACATTAACCCCTCACTGATCGACCTCTGTCGGTCCACACAAAAGAGTCTTTATTCTCCTGCATACCACTGGCTTTAATGTACAGGGCTGGCCAGAATTCAGAAAACACCTCTATTTTGGGCTCCAGTCTCTTCCTGTTTTCTCTCTGTTCCGTGCTGTCTCTCACCCCCTCACCGGGTCATTTTCCCGTCCACTACGGAGCCCACAGCATCCAAGGAAAAACTGACTTGGGACATCAACTACAATCCGTCTCGGAGCTCCTGTCCCTCTAAATCAGTGTATCACACTGGCAGTGAGTGAGTTCAGGCAGAAGGCTGGTGTCCACCAAACACCAGCTCCTTAGACCTTAGGTACCCGCAAGGCCAGAACTCGAGCGCTCGAGGCAAGCAAGGGGCCTAGGGCTCCAAATGTCACTCTCAAGGCTACTGAAGTCTAGGGTGCAAGTATTTGTGAGAGACAGATGCCCCCCTGAAATTCTGCCCCCTAAATGCCTCTCCGGCCTCACTCTAGTCCCGGCCATGCCTACCCGCTATGAGGCCCCCTCCGCCCTCCCCGGCCAAACGTCAGATACTTCGGGGCTCTTTCAGGATCACGTGCAGCACAGTGGTTTTCTTGAAGGTCAGGTCCCCCAGGTGTATGCTGCAGGTGTAACTTCCTCTGTCAGACTCCCTCACTCCGTGGAGCACGATAGACGCATCGTTGCGGGCAACGTCCCCCACCAGGGTGACGCGGCTCCGGGGGGAGCGCACAGGTACGCTGAGTTTGGAGGAATAATGCAACAGAACCTCCTCCTGGAAGGGAAAGGCAAACTATGAGTTTGCAAGGAGCAAGGAAGGCGGGGCATGGGCAAGGTGGAGTGGGGGGCTCCCAGGACTCCCAGGGCCCTGTCTGTGTGGGCAGTGAAGTATGAACCGAACCATGAACTAGCTCCCATGAGCAGAGAGGGATGAGGAAAGTGGAAGGAGAGACCTTCCCTTCCTCTACTTCTCCAGGAAAAGGAAGTGAAGGCGCACCTTTACTTCCTATGGCATTTTGGTTGCGTTTCCAGTAGGCACTGAAACACATCTAAAACGAAACTCCGAAGTCTTCCCCCAAAGCAGTTCCTTCCGGTCCATCCCATTTCGGTAAAGGCAATGTCTTCTTCCAGATGCTCAGGCGAAAAAGCTTGAGGTCCTCCTATTAAACCCCTCGCTTTCTTAAACCCACATTGAAAATCCCTCAGCAACCTCTGTCACCTCTACCTTTAAGATACGTCTCAAATCTAGCCACTTTTCACCTCCTCCATGCTTACCATTCTGGTCCAAGCTACCCCTTCCCTCACCTGAATTCCCGCAAGGAGCTTCCTTACTCGTCTCCCTGCTTTCTCCCAACTAGTCTATTCTCAGCAGATGAGCCCTTAGAAATAGAAGGTAAATCACGTTACTCCTCTGCTCAACATCCAATGCCCAACCCCCCATTTCTGCTAAAAGTACAAGGCCCTCCATGATCTGCCCCACTCCATTTTCCTCTCCGATGTCATCTTCTACTTTTTCTTCCCTCGCTTCCCTGGGTCACTTCATCACTTCACTCCAGTCACACTGGCCTCTTTGCTCTCCTTGAGTACTGGCCTCAGGGCCTTTGCACTTTCTGCTCTCTATGCCTGGGACATCCTTCCCTCCCAAAATATACATGGTTTGCTCCCTCACTTCAAAACTCTGCTCAAATGTCATCTTTTCAGTGAGGCCTCTTCTGACCACCTCTATAAAATAAGAACCACAAATGCCTGCTTTCTTGTTCTTCATCTCTCTTACTAATACCTGACATAGTATGTATTAGTTTCCTCAATATTTTACTGTGCATCTCCCTCAATCTTGATCGTAAGTATCCCATCAGGGCAGGAGCTCTGAGTGTTAGCCACATAGGTGCTTAAAACACCTGTTCAATGAGTAAGTGTTGGAATTTTTTATAAAGGCAAGTAAGTATTACCATTTTTTAAAGCTTTTGGGCACCTGGGTGGCTCAGTCAGTTGAGCGTCTGACTCTCGGTTTTGGCTCAGGTCATGATCTCATGGTTTCGTGGGTTTGAGCCCCACATCGGGCACTGTGCTGAGCCTGCTTAGGATTCTCTCTCTCTCTTCTCTCTCTACCCCTCCTCTACTCACCCTCTCTCTGTCTCTCACAAATAAACAAATAAGCCCCCCTCCAAATGTTTAAACCTTTAAGAAAAGGAAATGGGTATACAGATACACACGTGAATGCAAAACCTGGTCTCTAAACTCTTATCTCTCGTGTTTTGAATTCACAGCTCAAGAGGTTCACTCTTAACCTGTTTTGTTGTGACTCCCTTAGCAGTTGACATCTAGACGCGTGACAAGTTCTCAGAGGTAAACCTGGGACTGCGTGTTATTCCCCCTAGGCCACCGTGATGCCACACTTCCAGGCCCACTCACATGGCATACAGAAACCAAGTGAGTGAGTACTAACGGCTTCTTAATAGAGATGACTGGGAATATGTCCTAATTTAGAAAAGATAAACCTTTTCTAAACTTTGCACCCTAATTTTTATTAACACCCCACCTGGGATGTCCCAAAAGCACACCTCGCCCCACGTGCGCAGCAGCAGGCACGAACGACATCTCCAGTCTCGTGAACTAACCTGCTGCTTGCCGGCAAGTTCCCATGAACCACTGCACATGTTGGCCCCCGGGACCTACTAATGCCAACACCTGAAGAACCCATAAAGGCAAAGAAAATTCCCTCCATCCTGTAAGTGGGGCACAGAAGAAAACTTACAAAAGTAACCGAAATAAAAATAATGTGATGATTCTTATGCCCCTCCCAGAGCTTAGAGACAAGGACACAAAAGTCACTCCCCCCCCTTATTCTCCCATGGACTCTACAAAGAGAAGGGAAAGGAGGAAGGAAATCAAAATGCAGTGGCCAAGTCACGTACAAATGCTTTGCACGGATGACCTAATACATGTGCTTTGACAGCCCTAAGAGCTAAGCCGCAGGAATATCATACTCCTCCTCTTCCTCATCTGCATTAGAGGATGGTTCCCAGCAGGAAGCTAAAGTTGCCCACAGCCCTGTGGCTGAGCTGGAGGCTCAGCTCTAACAAGCTCCGAAGCCCACCCCTTGCCACACGGCACCTGTTGCCCCAATTCCCCCCCTTGCCACACTGTCCTGACACCATCAGGCAGGGGCTTTGACTACCACACAGCAGTTCCTCCCCTTTTACCTTGGCGTGCTCCCTTGAGAACGTCCAGTCCACCTTGGTCATGCGTTTCTCTCCTGTGCTCTGGAGAACACACCCCAGCTGAGTCGAGTCACCCACGTGGGCCATGAGCTCTGGAGATAAAATGGTAACTCAAGTCAAACCCAAGGTATAATCTACAGAAGTCAAAGAGCTTCTAGAAAGAGGTCATGGTGAGCCAAAAGATCGTCAGCCCCATAATATCAATGTCACCCCCAAATACCGCACACATTCGCTCCGCAGATGGGCCAGATGGTCCCATGTGGACGGAGTACTCATAAGCCCCTTACTCACAGCACAGCCCACGGCTGAGAGAATACCCACGGCCACCCACACACGGCAACTCTGAGGGGGTCTTCACACCACAGTAAACGTGTTCAGATTCCCTTTCATTCCCAGCTCCTTCCCCTTTTCCAGAATTTCTCTCGAGTCCCAACTCCACTTCAAGTTTATACTACAGAAAGCACAGAAAATCTTGAAGCCCTCTCTTTCTTTCTTTCTTTTTTTTTTTTGAAGCCCCCTTCTTTCCGTTCACCAACTTAGAAGCCCACATCTGCTGAACATAAACAGGAAGTGGAGAGTCACAGAATTCTCCTGCCTCTGTGTAACCCACTGGCTCTTTGAGCTGAAAAGCTGAATCACGGGTGACTTTCTTCAATTTATTTTACAAGATGTCTTAGGACTTGCTTAGGACAGTTCTGGCTACGGGACAGGTCACAGGACTGCTTGCTAATTAGGCCAAACAATAGACAGCTTTTCTCTTGGCTCATCTTTCTGTTTTGTTCCCTGCCCTCACTCCCCAGAGAGATTCCCCCCTTCCCCTGCTTCTGGCTTCCCAACTCCTAGACTTCTCCTTCTGCTTTTTTTGTAGAAGCAACTGACCCCATCATATGTTTAGTGCATAAATCATTTCAAGGGCCTCTGACAATAAAAAGAAAAATTAGCAAAATGTTTCTGGTGTTTCAATAATGTGCTACACAAATCAACCACAAAGCCAGTCAAGAAATGAAAGGCAGGAAGGTGTTTAGGAAGACACAAGCCTAGGTCTTAACTGGACAGAATTTCTTCCAAAGAGCAATAAGCAATGCTCATGAAGGAGCAAGCACAGTGCATAAGCCGACCTTTTCATCCAAATTGTTTCTGAGAGAACATGAACTTCCTACTCAGCAGGAGAGATGCACAATAGGAGGAAAGCAAAAGAAAATATTATGAACTTGAAGGGCGCCTGGGTGGCTCAGTCGGTTAAGGGTCTGAGTTCGTCTCAGGTCAAGATCTCACGGTTCATGGGTTCGAGCCTTGTGTCAGGCTCTGTGCTGACAGTTAGCTCAGACCCTGGAGCCTGCTTCGGATTCTTTGTTTCCCTCTATCTCTGACCCTCCCCTGCTCACACTGCCTCTCTCTCTCTCTCTCTCTCTCTCTCTCTCTCTCTCCCCCCCTCCCTCTCTCTCAGAAATAAATAAAACATTTAAAAAAATTTTTTTAAAGAAAGAAAATATTATGAACTTGAAACTCCACGGCAGGCATCATTTTGAAAGTAATAAAAATTCACTCCAAAGAATACGGGTAGGGAAAGTCCCCCTAAGTCCAACAGCACATTAAGAGCTGAACTCTATTTTTTTAAGCTTGTTTATTTATTCTGAGAGAGAGAGAGAAAGAGATCACAAGCAGGCTCCGTACTGTCGCGAGGAATCTGATGTGGAGCTCAAACTCACACCATGAGATCATGACCTGAGCTGAAGTCTGACACTCAACCGACTGAGCCACCCAGGCGCCCCTTCTCTATGATATTTAAAATAAGAACTATGAGGAAAGGGGCGCCTGGGTGGCTTAGTCGGTTAAGCGTCCGACTTTCGCTTAGGTCATGATCTCGCAGTTCGTGGGTTCAAGCCCCGTGTCAGGCTCTGTGCTGACTGCCAGCTCAGAGCCTGGAGCCTGTTTCAGTCTGTGACTCCCTCTCTCTCTGGCCCTCCCCTGCTCATGCTGTCTCTCTCTCTCTCTTCTAGAAATAAATAAAACATTAAAAAAATTAAAAAAAAAAAGAACTATGAGGAAAAAGGAAATGAAGGAGTCGGATCATAGAAAAATTATAAACCAAGGAGTAAACATAGAGAAAAGTATAGATGGCTTCATGAGGGGAAGACAACCTCTATCAAGCAAGTTGGACAACTTTCCAGTGGCCACCAGGCAAATTTTTAGGACTTGGCTCTACTCCCTTTCCGGCCACAAGGGAAAAATAAATACAGGTGGCTCCCCTGGCTAGAGGGGAAATATCTGACAAACCCTAAAATTGTTCTAGCCTGTTTCCATGGATTGTCCAATTCTGAAACTGGCTCCTTTTGGGTCATGCCCTCTGAGTCTCTTCAAAGAGGGAAAAGGCTCCTATTTCGTAGATCGTATTTGTATGGACAAGCATTTGGGGCTGGCATCAGAGGACAAAGCAGCAAGGAGTAGCCCAATGACGATCCTTGGGGAAATAGCTGGTTTATTTCCTTTCTGGAGAACTACAGTTTTGAAATCAAAAGGCAAATGTCGGCTGGAAGAAAGTAGGGGGGGTGCACCTGGGTGGCTCAGTCAGTTAAGCGTCTGACTCTTGCTTTCAGCTCAGGTCATGGTCTCATTGTTTGTGAGATCGAGCCCCACATCTAACAGGCTCTGCGCTGTTCGCTTGGGATTTTCTCTCCCCCTCCTCTCTCTCAGAATAAGTAAATTAACTTTAAAACAAAAAAGAAAAAGGAAAAAAGGAGGGAAATTTAGGAGAGAGGCCAGAGGCTACCTTCTACAATTCCTTCCACAACTCCACTTTTTAGAAACCGGATTCCAAGTGAGGGATGCCAATTCAAGAATTTTATCCACTTGGCAAATGTTTATCCAGAGCTTACTCTGCCAGGCACGGTGTCCAGGGCTGGTCAGAGGACCAAGAATACAGACCTGGGCGAACAGGGAAGATTTCACTGGGCAGGTGTGATGGACACCACCACAGAGGCACACAGTGGACCTGACCACCATAGAGGCGAGGAGGTCCAGATTCCAGCAAGCTTTCCTGAGACCATAGACTGTTCCTTCAACATACACTTTGAAAGAATATATCTAATTCTAGGGTTTTTAAGATTTGTTTTTTTCTAAGGCAGCAGGATTCTTCCTTCAAACAAAATCTTATCTGGCAGCCCAATGAACAAAACAGGAGAAAGATCAAGGACTTTGGTTGCACTTGAAGGGAAGCCCGAGGTCCTACCTGACCGGACCCTCTATTAACCCCCTGCCCTGCTCGCACCCTTTGTACAGGCTCCCAGGTTCCTTGGACTTTTCAGGTTCTACACAGCACAGTGTGAAAACCACCAATCTACTGAAGCCATGCCCTCCATTTACAAATGGAAAGACAAAGTCCAAAGAAGATAGACAGACCCTCTCATTTCTTTTCCGTCCCCCAGAACACTTACCAGAGCAACCCACAAAATAGGGACATGGCGTCACGGAGGATTACTGATGGGAAGTACCAGGACAGAGTAAAAGGAATAGGGACTTTGATGTCAGAGGCTCCAGGGTTCAAGTACTAGATACACCATTTAATAAACATGCGCCCTTAGGCAAGTCGCACCTAAGCCTCTCTGAGCCTCAAGTTACTTCATCTGTAAAATGAAAAGACCAATACTGCCTACACAGCATTTTCATCATGGTGGAACACATTTAAGGTAATAATAAAATATTCACTCTCATGATTTTTCTTTAAAGAACACCAGTTATTGCGGATTCACTGTGTGGTAAGTACCTAGACCAAAGGTGGGCACTTGTTCAGCAAAGTCAGTCTCTTCCCTCTTTGCACATCAAATCTCTTGCCCCTTCGCCCTTCTCTAAGTAAGCACTCATGTACCTTTGGTTTCCTCTGGTAGAACATGCAGCACCACCTCTTTCTTGAACACCAGGCTCTCCATTTCAAACCGGATCTCACAAGTATAGGTTCCCTGGTCAGCTTCTTCCACATTTTGGAGCAGGAGAGAGCCGTCATTGCACGAGAGGTCTCCCACCAAGCGCACACGGTTCTGGAAGCGCCCCACAGGCACGCTGAGGTTGGCGTAATAGTACAGCACGTAATCATCCTGGAGAGCAACACAACGTTGGGGAAAAAGCTAAAGTCTCCGGCACCAGACCTAGGAGTCTGGATCCAAAAGACCCTGCTCTGTGGAGACAGCGGCATCACCACCACCACCACCGTCATCATCACCATCACCATCATCATCGTCATTGTCGTCATCCTTGTGATTCAAAGGTGCTTGGTATCCAGTTTATAATAATAATGTGCCGGGTAACACTCTAACATGAACAAGGCCCTGTGCCTTATTTCACACAAGGACCAACGGTGAACTATGGTCCACACATACTCGTTTCTTACAGTCTGAGATAAAATGTAACATCCACTCTGAGGGTCACTCTGGGGACTCAAACTCACAACTTTTAAAAACCTTCTCTTGGGGCGCCTGGGTGGCTTAGTCGGTTAAGCGTCCGACTTTCGCTTAGGTCATGATCTCGCGGTTCGTGGGTTCGAGCCCCGCGCTCTCTCTGACCCTCCCCTGCTCACGCTGTCTCTCTCTCTCTCTCTCCTAGAAATAAATAAAAATTTTTTAAAAAAAAAACACCTTCTCTCATCTCCATGCTGTTTTCTGCTACGGCCCCTGGATCCAATGGCATTCAACACCTTGAGGCAATCCCCCAGACTGGTGGTGGCGACAGTCCCTAGTGGGCTGGCCATCACCCCCTACTTCCCACCCACCTCCAGGCAGCATATCATACAGCTTGCAAAGGAGTCATCATCACGGACTGGGAAGGGACTTGGGACATTCTTACTTCTCCTTACACCATTGGCCTATCCCTCTCATAATAAAAAATTCTAATAAAAATCTGAGCGAGAAAAGTATCATAGAAATAACACCCTATGAGCTACGTAAAGAGTATTTCATTTATGGGGTGCCTGGGTGGCTTAGTCGGTTAAGCGTCCGACTTTCGCTTAGGTCATGATCTCATGGTTCATGAGTTCGAGCCCCTCGTCGGGCTCTGTGCTGACTGCCAGCTCAGGGCCTGGAGCCTGTTTCAGAGACTGTGTCTCCCTCTCTCTCTGACCCTTCCCTGCTCACGCTGTCTCTCTCTCTTGCCTGGAAATAAATAAAACATTAAAAAAATTTAAAAAAAAAAGAGTACTTCATTTGTACGCTTCGGGACCTTACTGTTAGTAACGCATTACTTAGGATATATTTCACAAATGATCCTGAGATATGAGCATCTCTACAGAGTCTCTGATAAGGTGTATGCACCATTTCCCACTCCAAAGAGCTCCCATGAAAGCCTCCCCTCCCCACCACCCCCTCCCCCCGCCCCAGCCATGCTTCATCTGCTAATCCCAACACTTGAAGTAGCCATGAAGGAGAGAGAGATGATTCCCTGGCATATCAATGGGGCATGGAGTGCTGAAAGAATCTGGTCCTCTTCCCCCCGAAAAAAGATTACTGTGACATCATTCTTATGCCTCTTCTGTCTAGCCCAATGCTCTCACTCTTCTCAGCCCTCCCAGCTGCCTAAACTACTCTACAAAGGACAAATATCAAGAAACAAAAAGAGCTTTGTGTGCATGTCTTCCATTACTTCTCAATGACCCAAAAGGTAAGCATTACCATTATGACAATGACCTTCTTCTTCACAGATGAGGAAGCTGAAGTTCAGCAAGGTTGCGTAACTTGCCCAGCTGATTACACAGCCAAGGGGCCAGGCTAGGAAGGGGCCCAGTCTGACCAGCTTCAGACCCAAACTCTTACAACACTACCTCATGGCCCCTGCTGACCCAGTTCTCCCTCTCCCCATGCTGTTCCGGCACCACTGGCCAAGGGCTTCTACTACACAGTTGTATGTACCCCTTGTTACCTTGGCGTGCTCTCCTGGTGAGAACATCCAGTCTACCTTGGCCACACGTTTCTCTTCTGGGCTCTGGAAAACACACCCCAGCAGGGCTGAATCACCCACATGGACTGTCAGCTCAAGGGAGGGAACAATCAGGTCATTCAGGCCCAGGGAATAATCTATAGAAGTCAAAGGTAAGAGGAGACATCATTTAGACAAATACCCTCAACCACAAAAATCAGCATTAATCATCAAGTACTATAAGTCATCCCTCCCCAGATGACCCAACACAGACAAAGTACTCAGAGGCCCCTCATTCAAACCAGTCAGGCACTCCCAAGGGTAAGAGAAATACCCTCTAGGTATACACACGCCTCAAGCTGGAAGGGTTCCAGAATCTTCATATTGCAAAAATGCTAATTGGTCCTTTTCTCCTAACTGGTCCCTTCCCTGTTTCTGGAATTCCTTTCTCCCAGCTCCTTTCCTTCCTTTTGCTTTTTAAGTTTATTTCTTTATTTTGAGAGGGAGAGAAGGGAAGGAGCAGAGAGAGAGGGAGAGAGAAACCCAAGTGGGCTCCATGCCCAGTGCAGAGCCCAGTGCAGGGCTCGATCTCATGAACCATGAGATCATGACCTCAGCAGAAATCAAAAGTCGGATGCTTTAACTGACTGAGCCCCCCAGGCGCCCCTGAGTTCCCTTTCAGAGAGACCCTGACGTTCTCCTTCCAGGTCATGAATTCTGACACCCAAAACAGGAAATGACTTGTCTCTTGCTCCTAGATTCCCATGGGTTCTCTCTCTAAAAAGCCAACTCACAGGTATTTTTGCTTCCTTTTCTCCTTCTCTTTAGCTCCCTTACAAAAGCTTCTCTCTCACTTCGCTGGCTGATCCTGGCTGTCGTGCAGGTCCTTGTAATTAGACCAGTACGAGCACTGTTCTCCCCTTGGATTTTCTTTGTGTTTGTCTTCTCCCCCACTTCCCACCCCTGCTTTGCCGTCAAGCCCCGGCCTTTCAGCTTCTAGGTGTTTATGCTGTCACCACCCCGCTATCTGTATCTTGCTCAAGACATCTCTCTTTTCATTAAAAAAGGAAACCATTACACGGATATGTCCCTTTTCACAAGATGTGCTCTGTGCAGAGAGAACATTGAGAAAGACCCCTTTAGGTGCTGGCCAGTGTCTATCGAGGAAGAGCCAAGAGAACGCATATGGGAATAAACAGAAAATGTGCCAGTCTTTTCATGCAAGCTGTTGCCCTGAGAGAGGACAGCTAACTTCCTGCCCAACAGCAGGCACGCACAGCAGGGAAGACGGAAGAGAAAACATGAACTCTAAACCCTTGCGAGGGAAATTGTTTGGAAAGAAATCAAAATCAGTTCCAAAACCGATTTGGAATTTTCCCATAAGGAAGAACTGAGCAACTTCCCACGTGCTTAAAGGTGCTCTTACGCCTTTAATGTCATTTAATATTAAGCTAAGGTCTTTTAATATTAAGAGTGTAGAATTAAGTGAAGGTTAGCTAGAAAGCAGAGGCAGCCACCAAAGCGAAGAGAAACGGAGACCTGGCGGGTAACCTTTGTAGAGAAATGGCTGGAGAAAATGAGACTTTCTACAGAGAAAACACCTCTCTGCAAAGAAATACAAAACGCCCTGATGCCACCAAGCCACCGCTTACAGGGCTGACCTGTTAAGTCTCCAGCTGGAAGCGCCGAAATCTTCACGCTGCCTCCTCTGCCTCTGAGGATATGTCTAAATACCCTCAGAACACGACAACCCTGCTTCTGTGAGAAAAGATTCTCTTAAATACATACCATTTTCAGGTGTGTGTGTGTGTCTGTCTGTCTGTCTGCATAGTGGTACACATTCTCTGTTTCCTGGAATTAGAGCAAAGGCAGTACTTTCGTGCACATTGCTGCCAGTGTTTAGGTTACCATGCACAATTAAAAGCTAATCATAAAGAGCAAAACTAAGAGACTATGAGAGCAAAGCACCAAAGTCTCTTTGCTGCTTCCATGGGATAAAGAGAAATGGCAGGGAGTAGGGACGCCTGCGTGGCTCAGTCGATTAAGCGTCCGACCCCTGGTTTTGGCCCAGGTGGTGATCTCACGGTTTATGAGTTCGAGTCCTGTATCGGGCTCTGTGTGGACAGTGCAGAGCCTGCTTGGGATTCTGTCTCCCTCTCTCTCCCTACCCCTACCCATCCCCCCCCCAAAAAAAATAATTAAAAGTAAGCTTAAAAAGAAAAGAAAAGGTTGGGAGAAAGGACGGCCAACTTAGAAAGAAGAGCTGAACCACATAAGCAGCTGCCCAGAGCACAGAGGTTACTGGAGATTCCAAGCTGGCCTGATGGCAGGTGTGGGGGGGCGCGGAGGGAGGGGGGGTTGGAGGGGGTAGGGAAGGTTCAGAGGAGGTTTCCAGAAGGAAGTGGAGCTCAAAGAGAAACCCGAAGGATAAGGAAGCCTTAGGCACGGTAAGGTCCGGGGAGAGAAAAGTGTTCTGGGCAAAAGAAACTACCCCAGTCTGTGAAAGAGCTCAGTGCATTTGAGGAACCGCAAGAAGCCTGGGTAGCCAGAGCAGCAGCACACGACAGGGACTCTGCAACTCTCGCTGGTAATTTCATTTCCTGATCGAGACGAGCTGTGTTTTTTAGGCCACAAGTTAACGTGCAGGAATGCCAGAGAGAAATTTTCTTCGTATCGCAGAGGAAAGTCCTAAAGCACGCAATCAAGGACCCGAAGGCCTTCTGTTTCTAATAGAAACCAGAGGAAAATTCAGCTTTCCACGAAAGAGTTTGCTACCTAGCTTCTAAAGCAGCTGTTTCAGCAAAACTATGAAGTTCCAGGTTAGGGTTTCTGTTTTCCAGCAAACCAAAGGGAAATGAAAATGTATCAGGTTGGCTTTCATAAAAGCACGAGACTTAACAAGAACTCAGACCCCCTCCTCGGTCCCTTGGTTTCTACTTACCCAGGAACACTGGCATCAGGAGGAGTTTCAGGGGGCAAAACATGCCTGCTCTCTGACTTCCCAATCTTAAAAGAAAAAAAAAAAATAGCGTCAGGAGAAGTTTGTTAATTTAACAAACCCACCGTGAGTGGCTCTGTGGGCCAATCTCTGCCCGCGACACCAGGCTACAGACCTGAACAAGGACAAGGTGCCCACTCACGTGCAGTCTGCAAGTTGTGGGGAGGGGGGAGATGGAGAGGGGGAAAAAAGAAACAAATGAATGAACAAGAAAATAGCAGATGCTGGAAAGTGCCGTCGTGAAACAAAACAGAGCAGTGTTTGGAGAGTCGCCTGGGGGCCGCTTTAGATTGGCTGGAAGGGAAGGTTCTGTGAAAGTTGCTTTTCTAGAGGAAAAAAGCAATTTCAGGATGTCCTTGAAATGACAACCTTCGCCATCCTACAACCTAAGGATTTCACATAAACAAAGGATTACAGGTGACTCGGCGTGAGGTGTTTGCCTCTCTCTCCAACTAAATTAAAATGATCACTTTTAGGGGCGCCTGGGGGTCTCAATTGGTTAAGCATCTATCTCACAACTCATGAGTTCGAGTCCCGCGTCGGGCTCTGTGCTGACAGCTTGGAGGCTGGTGCCTGTTTCAGATTCTGTGTCTCCCTCTCTCTCTGCCCCTCCCCTGCTAGCGCTCTGTCTCTCTCCTCTTAAAAATAAAATAAACAATAAAAATGTTTTTTAATTATTACTTTTAAACATATAGAGAATGTTCAGGGTGTGTAGGAAAGGAGCTACACAAATAAAGAGAAAACTTTCAACCCAGTTAAGGCACTTACATGCTCTGTGGCACAAAGGAGATGCCTGAAATGTACATGGTGAGCTTTTTTTTGCCTTCCCTTCCCTCACCCCGCCCCGCCCCCCACGTTTTTAGGCAAGGCAGATGGCGTAGAATGAGACTCTCGGACTGTGCATGGGCAAGAAAGTATTTTTTAAGCATCTATATTATCTCTGTGGTATTAATTCCACTGTGTCTACCGGCTCCTGGGAAATGATTCATTTTTTCACTGTGCCCCACAATTTTCTTAATAAAACAGAACACCGACTCCAGGGAGTTACAATCCAACCAGTTCTGGGTTCCTACCAACCACTGTGTCTGGTCTCAGCCATGATCCCTGTCCCCCGAGCATCCTCTCGCTAGAAGAACGCTACCTAGAACCTTCTAGAAGGAAAGGTCTCTTGGTGTAACACCATCACAGTACCCCACCCAGCGCTGGTGGGAAGTCCACATACTGTGGCCATTTTAACTTGTAAAAAACGGTTACCTACGAGATTCCTTACCCGCATTCTACACAACAAAACCCTCCATCTGGAAAATCGGGGTCAGACTGTTCAAGGAGGTCTTACCCTACGTCCCACTTAGGCAGAGAAGTCAGTTGACCTTGCTGAACCTCAGTCTCCTTGCCTATAACACCAGGACAACAATGCGAAAATAGGATGACATAGGTAACGGTGCTTCGAAAAGTAGAAATCATTACCACAAAAGATCCTATTTTTCATAACCTAAAAATCAGATAGGAAATAGAATTTGAAGGGGTTTGGGTTCTGAGCACCTTCCTTTATAAGAATGGCAAATGATGAATCAGAATGAACTGGAAACTTTTTTAAGTTTCAATTTTTGAATCCCATCACAATGTAGATAATAATTACACTGACTCAGATATACCAAAAGTCATATTAAGTTTCTCCCAGACACCTCTGGTAAAAACACAGATCTCTCTCAAGATAGCCACTGTCGTCTTCTGGCTCTAAGACTCCCGTCCCACCCCACACATCCATGGGTAAGCATGATAAAGGGCTTCCTTCAGAGCGTGCATCATTGTAATTCATCATATCTGGGACATCTGAGATCCCTGAACATTCTGGATGAATCCCTCTTCGGGGAGTTGGTTGTGTTCCCTCTCTGTCCAGCTAACAGTCCTTGTACATTCCCCCGGGGCAGAGCACCCTCTGCTTGGAAGAGGATCAGCTGATTCGCAGGTCTAACACCAAACCCCGGTAAGTCCATCTTCTCAAGAAGGACCACATGTTCTTGTTTACAAGTGTTCCAGGCCTGTGCCGCAGTGCCAGTAAAGTATCCGGCATAAGCTGGGCAAGTGCCAATAGTTGCCAAAATGACTATCACATTGAAACCAACTTAGATATCCTACAACTCTTGGACCATTCAATCCCGAGGACACCGGTGATCCCGAAAGAGACTCTGAACCTCGTCACCAAACTCTAGCCACTCAGAGCCACACCCAACCAGTTTCAAACAAATTTGAAGAAATGTGCAAATAATCTAATGAATATAAGATATCAATATGTTTTCACTCATATGTGGATCTTGAGAAACGTAACAGAAGACCACTAGGGAAGGGAAGGAGGAAAAAATAGTTACCAACAGAGAGGGAGGCAAACCATAAGTGACTCCTAAATACAGAGAACAAACTGAGGGTGGATGTGGGGGGTGGCAGAGAGGGGGAAATGGGTGATGGGCACTGAGGAGAGCACTTGCTGGGATGAGCACTGGGTGTTGTATGGAAGCGATGAATCATGGGAATCTACCTCCAAAACCAAGAGCACACTTTACAAACTGTATGTCAGCCAATTCGACAACAAATTATATGTTTTTTTAAAAAGGATACAAGATATCATTTTGGTTCTAAGTACCCATATGCCCCTTTAGAACTCCCTGTGAATGAAGAGAGAAGCAATGAATTCATGGAAAAAGCACGGATTTGAATTCCTAAACAATTCTCTTCCTGGGTCCGACCTTCCATTAACGAATCCTTTGATCTCTGGGAAATCACTCACTCTCCTGGGCCTCATCCTTACCACTAAAGGATCGAACCTTCTCTCCCCCGTAGTTAATATAGGACCACACCAGAAATCAGTAGTTATATATGCAATAGTTCTGAGAGGGTTATGTGCCAGGTACTGCCCGAGTGCTCTTCACATTGACCCATGTAATCTCCGCAACAACCCTCTGAGGTCCCACAGACTGGGACGCTAAGGCACAGACTGGTGAAGTGACTTGCCTAATACTGCAGAGCCAGGATTCAAACCCAGGCATTCCAGATCAGGACCTGTCCCCTCACTGCCCCGTACTGCCCCTTGTGTTTGTGAAAGTATTCCATGTTTTAGAGCAAAACTTCTCCAAACTTCATTTATCCAAACAAGACGAATCTGCTCCCTGGACTAAGTGCTCTTCCCGCCTACTTCACCCAGTGAGCTCCTGCTCTGCTTTTAGATGTCAAGTTAACATGACTTCCCCAGGGAAATTTCTCCTGAGCCATGCTTACCAGCCACGTGTTTTGTGTTTTGTTTTGTTGCTGCTGTTGTTATTGTTTTAAAGTTTATTTACTTATTTATTTATTTAGAGAGAGAGAAAGCAGGGGAGGGGCAGAGAGAGAGGGAAGCAGAATTCCAAGCAGAGCCCAATGTGGGGCTTGAACCCACAAACCGTGAGATCATGACCTGAGCCGAAACCAAGAGTCAGACACTCAACCAACAGAGCCACCCAGGCGTCCTCCACCAAGTGACACGTTTTAAGAGCACTATTTCTCTCTCCTTTGGGGCACTTGTCACAATTTCTAATTATCTATTTATTTGTGGGCTTGTCTGATTAAAGTCTTGCTCTCCACCCTCACCTCCCAAGACTGTAAGCTCTACTATCTGAATAATGAAAATCAGAATCTTATATATACAAACATATAATAAATACATAAAATGAATCTTGGTCTTTAGAAACCCAGCCAAAGCATCAGATGCCCCTTCAGCACCTTGATAGTAAGACTCTATTTAAATTCTCAACTTCTGCCCCGCCTCTTCAGATCCTGACATCTCTTCACCAGATGCTCTTGAGATAATTCTGCACAGTGGGAAATCTCATGGGTTCGCCAAATATTTGGACCCGAGCTCACGGCGCTTTCACAATGTAACTCCTGGCAGATACCTTCCATCACTGCCGGGGCTGGGGAGGAGGGCAGGTTTTAACCATCAGACTGCCTCTCACATTATGAACAGTGCAGGGGAAGTGTTCCCCTCGGCTCAATTATGACAGAAAAACCTCTTCAGAATAGGGACTCAAGACAATGAGACAACCACACAGGATGTGAGAATGACCCGCTGATATTTCAATTTCACAAAGCAAAATAAGGGAGAGGTGCTGTCTCTGAGCACAAGCATTTGCCCCTCTAAAGGACAACCAACCACTGAGCAGACACCCGCACAGGCTTCCCTTCCCTCGCCCGCTCCCCCTGTGACGCTAAGTCCCCTCAATGCACCGCTGGCTGCACACCTGGGGGCTCTAGGGCTCTCGTTGTGTTTCAGCATCGTTATCCATGCATGAACTTCTGGAAACGCATCCTCACTTTGCCTTCCAAGACCGTTTCTCTTCCATCGGACTGGGAGGCTACGTGGCTCCCCATAAAACAGTCTTGATCATGTTGGCCAGCCCTTTACCCGAAGGGGACGTTGGAGGTCATCGCTCCCGCTGCCTCCTCAGGCCAGGTTACCTAACCCACCCTACATCAGGCTTTCAGGAGATCAGTGCCTTGCAAAGGACGTGACCAGTAAAGACAGTAGCCTAGCGCTCTTGAGAGCATTAAGTTTCTGACTTCTTAAGGTTAAACCCTGGTCTGTCTAGGATTGGGAGAAGAGAAACAGTGAGGGACAAGTCCTACCATGAGTTCAAGGGCAGCTAGGCACTGCTCTACCTAAAACCACAGGCAACTTATAAACAAAAGTCTTATTTATCATCAGCATCCTCATCATCTACTCTTTTCAGTAACAGCAAACCTGACCCCTCTTCTCTCTGAGGATCTTAACAGAGGCGACTATACCACAAAGAGGAAAAGTGTACCCACCAGGCTACCGTATACCCCCGTCTCTTCCTATAGGGGTAGAGAGCCCCTGCAAATGTGGCCATCAGATTAAAACCTTCAGAAGCAGCCTTCTTCTGCTTAAGAAATACGAAGCAATTGCTTACCCAAGCTGAGGCGCACGGAGGGGGAAGCCAAGCACTGAACTCCGCTACATGTGCAGTACCCAAGTCCGACTGAAGAGACTTCTACCAGCACAGAAGGTCAGACTCAGAGCAAACCAAATGCGTGCGTTCTGAAGTGGCTGCACAGATGCAAACAGGAACCTCTAAATCAGGGTTCTCCTTTCAGCTATCTGGCCCACGACCCAATTTTTATTTATATTTTCAATCTAAAAAGAAGAGATATATTCAACTTACCGAGAACAGCCTCATCCTCCAGACCTGAGCAGGCACCGGCTGCCGTTCTAGATTGCAAGCTCCCTGAGGGTGGGGTCCTGAATAGCACCAGGCAAACATTCCCCAAGAGAGAAGTCAGCTCCATGCAAACACAGTACAACAGATTTAAGATTAACATAGAACATTTTGCTCCGCTTAAAATACAGCAACCTCAAAAATAAAGATAAAAATAAAATAAAATAAAATAAAAAAGGGCGCCTGGGTGGCTCAGTTGGTTAAGTGTCTGACTCCTGATTCCAGCTCAGGTCATGATCCCAGGGTCATGGGATCAAGCCCCACAATGGGCTCTGAGCTGAGCATGGAGCCCACTTGAGATTCTCTCTCTCTCTCTCTCTCTCTCTCTCTCTTTCTCTCTCCCCCTCTCCTATGCTTGCTCTACCTACAATTTAAAAATAAAATAATAAAATAAAACTAAAATTACAGCAACTTCTCTTATTTTTTCTCTCAACACACAGGTATAATATAGCCAGACAGTTATCCAATCTCTGCTTCCAAAGAGAAGCCTGTTCAGTCCTCCAACTCACCATGTTGATTTCCTCTGACTATGTGATAGCATTTCCAGAACGCAAGTAGCATTTTACTCCCCTGGAACACCCCTTGAGTGATTTGGACACCTCAGATAAGAACTCAAAGCTTCTTCACTTCAAACTATCTTTTGCTTTTAAGTTGCCACTTCAGGGGGCACCTGGGTGACTCAGTCAGTGAAGCGTCCAACTTCGGCTCAGGTCATGATCTCATGGTTCGTGGGTTGAACCCCACATCAGACTCTGTGCTGACAGCTCAGAGCCTGGAGCCTGCTTGGGATTCTGTCTCCCTCTCTCCCTGCCCTTCCCCTGTTTGTGCTCTGTCTCTCAAAAATAAATAAATGTTTAAAAAATTTAAAAAAAATAAGTTGCCACTTCAAAATAAATGTTCTCAGTTGTGCACACCTTCAACCTTGCTTGGGCTGGCTTGACCTGCCTACACATGGCTATCGTGTTTTTTAGAATTTGTCCCATATCATGTAAAAGGTTGTTGAATACTTGCTCCTCTCAAGGACTGTGCTACATGGTTCTATTTTTATTTTTATTTTTTTACTGTTAAGAGAGAGAGAGTGTGAGTGTGAGTGGGGGTGGGGCAGAGAGAGGAGACACAGAATCTGAAGCAGGTTCCAGGCTCTGAGCTGTCAGCACAGAGCCCGACGCAGGGCTCGAACCCACAAACCAGATCATGACCTGAGCCGAAGTCAGACTCTTAACCAACTGAGCGGCACCCAGGCCCCTCCCTGTGCCACCTGATTCTTGAGAAACAGCCAGTACTGGTAAGCCAGCGACTTACACAAACACTCCCGCCTATCTCAAACCACCAATAGTTTAACAATCGGCTTGCAAAATTCCCAAGAACGTAACAATCGGCGCTTGCTGGCTGCAGCCCACCCCCGAACCCGTGCAGGCTCCTGCAGGGCTAACGCTTAGAGACGAATGGCTCCTTCATGCTGAAAACCACAGCCTCCTCCCGTTTCACATGCCAGCTCTCATTGCATATGTAGGCACACACCAAAAAGTAGCCAGAAAGTGCAAAGCAGTTTATTAACCGTGATGTGGTAAAGATATCAAGAGTTACAACATCTGTGCACATGGCCCAACAGTGCACACCCTCCTGCAGAAGAACAGACAACAACAAAACAAACAAACAACATCAACAAATCGCTGTGAAAAGCATCGGTTACGGTCCAGCAGTCCAACACGGGAGTCAAACGCATGGCGCTGCCTCTTCTGGCAGCGAAGTTTCCAGTTGTGCCATTAAATGACAGTCTTGGTCTGCTCTCTACAGGTCTTCCACGCCTCCCTTTTAGAACCCTAACTGAGTGACGCAGCAGAACGTTCAGATGAGGGTTTGGCCTCCACAATTTTTTCTGGAACAGGGACACTCGGCATTCCCTCTTGAAGCACCCGCGCCCAGTCTGGGAGTCGCAGGGACCTAGTACGTCCCCCCGGAAGCCTGGGGCCACAGGCCGCGTGGGAAACACAAAGCATTTCAGAAATTCACATTCAGTAATTGAGGGCTCAAGGCACAGAATTTGTAAGGTAGCGTAGCCATGAGTAAAGCCTTCAGCAGCCAAAGAAGAAATTCTGAAAGGTGTTTATCCCTTCTGAAGCTTTCGGAATTAAATTCCCTTTCTAGACAAGGCTGGTCTTCATGGGGTGTGCTGGGCATACAAAGCAGCGAAAAGAAAGTGAGAGGGAGACTAGCACCTTAGAAATATTAAAAGAGTAAGTTTTAAAAACCAAAAAAGTTATCTTCCCTCCCTCTTTAAAAAAAAAAAAAAGACACTGCTTTTTGCTCCTTTTGGGGAAAAAAAAAAAAGCTGTAACCCAGACCTCAATATAAGAGATAAAGACTGGAGCCTTATGACTGATGCGTCCATAAACCCACAGAGCAGACTAAATCCTCAGCCTGTTCAGTCACTTAAAAAGAAAGGGACTTGTTCAAATCATGATTGAGGCTACAAAACAACGTGACCAAGGAGTCACACAGCACCATTTACCTAAAGCGACAAACATACTACAAACTGGATTAATCCTCATAACATGCCTGCATGGAAATTACAAGAAACCCCAGACAAAACCGGTTCCTCAATTCATGAAATGTGGTTTTAACTGGGTTCCTGTCACATCATCTCTTTCTCAAAGAAATGAGGACTCACAAAAAGTCTACCCCACAAGTAGGTCTCTATCTTCCAATCTCCTAGAACCCAAATTATTTACCCTTGTTGCTCACATGTTTTCCACTCTCTGCTTGTGGTGTCAGACTGTCTCTCACCAGGCTGGCCCCAGACAGCCATATACTTGACAAATAGCCCAAGACTCTGAGGCTTAACCACTGGAAATAAACAGTCAATGTGTCGTTGCCTCTTCCACTTCCTTACGCGACCAGAGGTAAATCGCAATATCTATTAATGAGCCAGACTCTCTTATGTATGGGCTAGATTAACAAAAGAAGCCAGGCCAAACCTATATCGTAGTTCTTCAAGTCTTTACTGATTACTTCCGGAACTAATAACCCCAAATTTTAAGCATAAATCTTGGCAAAGTGATTTTTTGTGTGTAACACATGTGGCGTATTATGCTATAACATGGAAACCTCCCTAGCCACCTCCCTAGCCACCTCGTGAAGAAACATGGGGGGAAGATAAACAAAGATGGGAGGAGGGGATAATTCTTGTCTCTCATAATTGAGAAGTGAACTCTATTGCTCTTTTACAGAGGACTACGCTGTCAATCCTTCTAGACATGTCATACATATTTCTTAATAGCTTCTAGAAAATCCCATGTAAGTTAAAATTTGAAATCGGTCCTGTGGGAAAACGGAGGAAGCTGATGTAAGGTATTGAGAGACTAGAAATGAGAAGTATAGATTGCGTACCACCTCACTTCCTTATGTTATGTACCACCTCACTTCCTTATGTCAACTCTGATGCAAAAAACAGTTTGCAAGTACCTTGGTTCACTCACATTTGGCGTATTTTAGAACTCAAAGAAGTTCTGGAGAATAACACAGGTGAAGAGATGACTTCTGATAAACATAAGCCTTGTTAAAGTAAATCTGACATTTGAACTCTGGCGTGGCATTTGTTATAAAAAGATTATTTCCTTGCAAATAAATGATAAACTATTCTATACATTCCCCACAAAAAAAAACGTTTCAAAACATAAAAGAAAGGGATCCTTCCTTAATTGTTCCTTCCCTTAATTGTACACTGATGATACTTTAATACTTTAAAAACCCGTCAAAGCAAACCATGGGTTCCAGGCCTTACCAACTCTATGGAAATTAGAGTTCCAAGTCACCCAAACACAATCGATAACGTCATTAAACCAATGAGTATACGCTGTATGCTGATCTGCGGCTGAAAACAGTCACGGAGAAAATGCAAAGAATACTTATTCCAAACAAACATTTCGTCTGGTAGGACATCTGGGCGTTACAAGCTCCATTTCATTTTTTAAAAATATTTTGGCCTCAGCCATGTGGCCCACACTTAGGATTTTCCCTCAAATAACTGGAAGGAAGCATGTAACATGTCCAAGAGCAAAGGCAAAACAGAAAGTTTTTTTCTATTCAGGAAGAGGATTCCTTCATTCAATTAGAGCATATGTTATCAAAAGGGGTAGTTAGGAGTTTCTTCTGAGAGTTCTTGGACAGTTCATAAATATAAAAAGAACAGTTCTTCAATAAATAAATGGGTCCTAACGTCTATACGGATGGCTTCCAGAATCTTCCAGCACAGCAACCCAAGCCAGCTTTGTTTCTGAGAGGCTTTAGCTGCCAATGGAATGGGATATTTTCCATTAGGTGACTCTTCTTATATCGTGAAGCCTTTCATCAATATGTCTCTTCATAGTCTGAATCCTGGAGAGAAAGAAAAGCAGTGGTTGTGTTTATATGAAGCATAGTGCCACTAACATCATACCAGGTATAGTAGTACAGAGTTTAGATGAAGACCACATTCAAGGACCCCTCAGATGGAAGTCAACGTGGGGTGACATTAACGGGGAAATGGCTTGGACTCAACACACCTACATTCCAATGAAGCATCAGAGGACTTCAATATATTTGGTGTCTTTTGGGCTAATTTCTGTTTTGAAACCCTAATGATTCCCTTTTCCATGGTGGATATTCGTTAAAAACCTCAATGCACATGAAAAGGCGTCTGTCGGCACCAGAACATGCCGGGCTATAGTTAGGAGTTTCGGCTTCACAGTTTCTCTGAGCTCTAATATCAGCTCCGCCCCTTGCTGGCTGTGTGAACTTGAGTAAAGTTATTGAACATCCCTAAGCCTCAGTTTCCTTATTTGCAAAGTGGGGGTAATAAAAATACTGACAACTCAAAGAAAGGCTTTGAGAATTGAATGAGACAATGTATGGAAATCACTTAGCACTGAGCCTAACAGTTTGTGAGTGCTCATTCAAGATTAGCTACTGGTACCATTATTCTCATTCTTACTCTTATTATTTATTTTTTTTAAATATATGGGTTTTTTTTTAATGTTTATTTATTTATGAGAGAGAGAGAGAGAGAGAGAGTGTGTGTGTGTGTGTGTGTGTGTGTGTGTGAACAGGGAAGGGGCAGAGAGAGGGAGACACAGAATCCGAAGCAAGCTCCAGGCTCTGAGCCATCAGCACAGAGCTCAAAGCAGGGCTGAAACTCACTGACCATGAGATCATGACCTGAGCCTAAGTCATATGCTTAGCCGCTTAGACAACTAACTCACCCAGGTGCCCCTCACTCTTATTATTTAAATTAGTATTCACGGGGCACCTGGATGGCTCAGTCGGTTAAGCGTCCATCTGTGGGTTCGAGCCCCGCGTCAGGCTCTGTGCTGACAGCTCAGAGCCTGGAGCCTGTTTCAGATTCTGTGTCTCCCTCTCTCTCTGCCCCTCCCCTGCTCATGCTGTCTCTTTCTCTCTCACAGAAATAAAACATTAAAAAGTTTTTATAAATAAATTAGCATTCATTACCTCTAACCTCAAGCGGCCCATTGGAACTACGTGGCAGAGCACACTTCTCCAGGGTATTCATTCTCCTCTTCTCCGGGATTACTGTTGCACACCTTTCCCTCTTTCTCCAAACCCCCAGCACCTCCTCCTCACTTGATTCTCAGCTGACGACCTTGCTTTCTCCCCACACTGGGAATAGAGTCGTCAGCAGGGAAGCTTTGCAAGCCCATCCGGGTGGTCTTCCTTACTATTCTTATGGGCCCGCTCTCCCTGCCTTTATTGAAGGCCAACATCCCCAGCTTGTACACTGCATCCTGGAGCTACCCCAGCAAAACGTTCTCTCTTTCTCCGGCAGCGTCAGTCCTTCTTTTCCACTGAACCGTTCCCATCAGCATACAAATGTGCTGTAACTTCTCATCTTAAACAGAGCAGTAACCCTTGACGCACATGTTCCTCCCACCTATTGCCCTAGTTCTCTGCATCTCGTCACAGCTAAACTCCTCGCAAGAGCTGTTTACACCCACTGTCGCCAATGTCTCTCGTCATGTTCTTTCTTGACCTTAGCCCCGTCGGGCTTTCTTCCCCACTAACCCCACGGAAGCTGCTTTTGCTCAGGTCACGATGACCTCCGCACCACCAGATCGGCCAGTAATCAATCCTCAGCTCTCATTGCACTTGACCTGACTCAACAGCAACTGACACAGCTAATCGCTTTCTTTTCCTTGAAACACAATCTTCACTTGGCTCCCAGGACAGCAAACCCTCCTGGGTTCTCTCCTAGCTCACTGGACATTCCTTCTCAGCCTCCTTTACCGATTCTTCTTCCTTTCCCCGGTCTATCAACCTTGGAGGGACCCAGGGCTCTAGTCTACATCTAATCTTCCTTTTCTATCTACTCCACCAACTGCTAAAGTCAAAAACCATGGAATTTCCCTGACTCTTCATTCTTTCACATACACATGAAACCCATCCGTAAATCCTTCTGGCTTCACCTTCAAAGTATAATCAGAATACAACCACTTCTTACCACCCTGGTTCAAACCAGTACTATGTTCTCTCGCCTGCGTTATTGCTAAGGTGTCTTAATTGGGCTCTCGGACTGTCAGGTCCCCTGACTATGGTACTACCTCTTCTCGATACGGAAGCCAGGAGTAAACAGACATCAGTTCTCAGTATTTCCCTTCTTAAAACGCTCCAGCGCATTCCATTTCATTAAGAATAAATGCCCAGATCATTCCAATCACCTACAATGCTCTATAAGATTTAGCATCATCTCTCTGTATCAGTAAATGTGATCTGAGGTAAGAGATTTTTGTCAGTGGTGTTCACTCGTGTTTCCTAGGTACCCAGAATCATATCTGGCATGTATCAGATGCTCAGTAAATAACCGCTGAATGAATTAATATCTCAAAGGTGGATATTCTGTGTTACTGAAGTACTCAAATCCCAAAGGGTTATTATTAGATTCTCTTCACCAGCATTATCAACCTTCCCCTCATCTTACCTATTGCACTCAAGTTTGAGAACGAGAGAACAAAAGAAAAATTGGGCTGCGGTCATCTGGCCAAGTGCTGAGCCTGGCGATGAGTACAAAGAGAACTCAAGTTTAAAGTCGGCAATGACAGGTATGTTTCATATTAGATCATAGGTTGCTTTTGACCTGTTTCCAATTGCACCACATCAGAGTCTTTCCTCCTAGGTCCCTGCGACAGCCACACGAGCCCACCAATCACAGCAAGAGCTTCAAAGGGGAGAGATGACGGCCTTTTGAAATTTAAATCAAAACTCGGGCCCTCCAACATGAGTATATCTTATTGATGAAGCCATAAGTCACCCAAAAGGTTAGATCGTGCTGATTTCCCTGGGGAAAAACTGATGCACAGCATTAAAGTTCAGTTCAGGACTCTGAGTCCAGCTGGCCAAAATCTGCTAGTATGACCTTGGTGGCTTAGGGCACACCTCTTTCAGGGTGTTCGCTGTCAGTGGGCAGATACTGTTCTACAAGGTCCCTTACCTAACCTAAGGACACCACTCTGTGCCCATGATACAGAAAACAAAATAATGGTTAGAATTGGTAGGGGTGGGGGTGCCTAGGTGGCTTAGTAGGTTAAGTGTCCAACTCTTGATCTCAGTTCAGGTATTGATCTCAGGGTGGTGAGTTTATGCCCCATGTTGGACTCTGCACTGGGCATGGAGCCTACTTAAAAAAAAAAAAAAAAAAAGAATCAGTAGGAGTCCCCTGAGACCAAAATGCTTTGGGGGAAGACCTTGCTTTGGATCTACCTGAATATCCTCTGCTGCCTCTGGGGACAAGGAATCCCCCAGTAGGAAAGCAGAGCGTGAACAGCAAACACAGAAATGGCATGGGCTTACCAGGCACTCCGCACAACGAACACAAAGTCTTGCCATGCAGTCATCTGCTTCCTCTTGGTCAGTGCTGGAGAAAAAGGACAAACCAAATCTGAACAATGACTGTCCCCGGCACAGAAGAGCAGTGAAGCGTGCAGCTGTTGAAGTCGGACAGGTCTCGTTTTAAATTCCAGTTCTGCCACTCACTAGCAGGGTGACTGGGCAGGTTACTTAAGCTCGGGGATAAAAAATAACCACACGGAAAACACCTACCACAGTGCCTGACACACAGGAAGTGCCCTGTAAATAGGAGGTGGTCCTGATCATTCATTTAGAAACGTCCTGAGCACCCACCATGTCTGAGCCATTGGGCTGAGCTGAGGACGCAGACATAAATAAAACACTGCCCCTTGAATTGCTCACAAGCTCATGGGTGTGAGAAACCTGTTGAAACTTAGTAAGTCCTTTATGAAACAATGTAATAAAATGTTTTAATAACCTTAAGGTCAAACTACTGTGGCAGAAAAGTGGAGGGAGTGCCCTGTTGTCCGGGGAGGACTGGGGGAGACTCAGAGAAGGAGACACTTCACCTGGGTCTTGGAGGACAAGGAAAGGTTATCCGGGCCGGCAAGGGAGGGAAGGAGAGGATTCCAAGGGAGAGAAGCGCATGTGGGGGAGAAAAAGACTTGAGGGTACACAGCGTTATTTAGAGAAGAAAATCAGCTCCATGCAGTGTGAAGTGAAGGAGAAGAAATGTCAGGAAACAAGATGACTTAAGGGGCAGTCTTAGTACATTGTGCTTTGAAATAGACATTTTAGTATTTCTACCAAGAGCTCATCACCTCTCCGGGGGGAGGGGGCACCGATTCCTTGGAAAGACCACTCTCTCTCCCGTGAAATAAATGCACACACACGAACATGCCCGCACACACACTGAAACGGAGAGAGAACATTTTAGACCCTGCCCAGGGAAGCCTTCCCCTCCCAAGGTGAGGAACCCCTGATATAGACAATGGAGAATCAACAGGGTTTTTATGCAGGCTTTGTCACCTTTGTTTCGGTGAGATGTAGTCTTAGCAAAAATAGTGGATCAGGCCTGCTCACTGCCAACACGGTGTTTCATAAATGTGCTTGGATAATCACTATCCAATCAGCCCCCCAGAGCATCTGCTGACCAGGAATAGATCTTGCTTATTTAAATTGGGTTTTGCCGTCGAAGGCTATTCTTAAGGCCTTCCTGATTGCCTCGGCATGTTCTGTCAGGAGACATCAGCTTGGTGCCAAATCAAGAAGGGGAAAAGAACTGACTTGGAATTTCCTGTTAACTTTGAAGGAATGTGATCGCCTTCAGAATTTATGCGCAGAACCATAGCACAGTATAATCTGATTTCCAAAGCAGAAAGGAGGGCCCTGCTGTTCACCCCTCCACCTCTCTCTCCAAATTAATATCTACTTGTTTCGCTTCCAACCTTCCCTCTAGTAAGTACTTCTAGGCAGAACTGAATGTGGCCTATTGGGAAAAGGAAAGGCATGGGCTCAGAGCTCTGGGGAGTACCCACAAAGCGAGGCTCCGAAGAAGAAAGGGGCTGACCGCTCAGGGATCCAGCTGGACTTACTCATCTGAAACTTCAATAGATGACTTCTTGTAGCCAGACTTGTTCCTCTTCTTCAGCCCAGCTGACTTCCTCCCCATCCTCACCAGCAACAGAACAACCACCACAGCTGAGGGGATGAAGACAAGGATGGAGAGGAGGGCCACGGAGGAGAGCATGGTGCCGAATCCTAGAGAGGGGGAAAGGGAAAGTGAGAGGGTGGGATGTGCAAAGGGCCTCCTTTGACATGAGAAAATTTTTACTTTTGCTCTTGTGTTTCTTTTTTTTAATGTTTACTTATTTTTGAGAGAGAGAGACAGACAAAGTGTGAGCAGGGGAGGGGCAGAGAGAGAGGGAGACACAGAATCCAAAGCAGACTTTAGGCTCTAAGTTGTCAGCACAGAGCCCAGCGCGGGGTGCAAACCCCGCATGATCAAGTCAAGATCATGACTTGAGCTGAAGTTGGGCACTTAATCAACTGAACCACCCAGGTGTTCCTGTTCTTGTATTTCTTCTGATTACAACAGGAATAAATTCATGGTAGAAGGGGTAGAAAGTACTCAGAGGTACAAAAAGAGCAAAAACGTATCCAAATTCCACTCCCTAGGATTAACACATTGGTATCTACCCGTTCAGTGTTCTTTCTTGTAGTATGTAGGTGTGGGTCTACAGATAGGGAGAATGGTACATATTTTTAGAAGTGTGGATCATGTTTTACAGACTTTCTAGTCCCCTCTTTTATGTAATATATAATAAATATTTCTCATGTCATTAAAAATTGCATCCAGGTATTATTTTTTTAAGGGCTGCACAGTATTCCAGCACACTGAGTGATCTGTTGAACCAGTATTGTGATGGTAGACATTCAAATTGTTTCCAACTCCTTGAATCTACAAGTTACTTTATGATGATCGTCTTTGTACATAAATCTTCATATTTACCTCTATTTCTTTAAGATAAAATTGTAAATGGCATTACTGGATCAAGGGGCACACAGACTCATACTACCAAACTGTCTTACAAAAACACTATACTACTTTCTACTCCAGCCAGCAGCATGAGCGTGCCCGGATCTTTGAAACCTTGAGTTACCATCTTTAAAAAAAGGAAGAAGAGGTGCGCCTGGGTGGCTCAGTCCCTCAGCCAGACTTTGGCTCAGGGCATGATCTCACAGTTCGTGGGTTTGATTCCCATGCAAGGTTCTGTGCTGACAGCTCAGAGCCTGGAGCCTGCTTCGGATTCTGTCTCCCTCTCTCTCTCTCTGCCCATTCCCAGCTCATGCTCTGTCTCTCTCGGACTCTCAAAAAATGTTAAAAAAAATTTTTTAAAGGAAGAGAGGGAGAAGGGAAAGGAAGGGAGAAAGAAAGGAGGAGGAAAAGACAGACAGACTAGAGAAAGACCTATGAAATGATAGGCCATCAAACAAAATGCAGTTCCATATCTCTAGATCTTTGGTTCCAATCCAACTGAGGATTAGAATGACCACTCAGGAGTCACCAGGGAATAATGTCAAAAAAAAGGTCAGTCCTTAACCTACTTTCCTTGGCTTTCATGCTAAAAGGAAACTGCTGCCCTTTGCAACATAAAAGAATTGTGGCTGCCCCCACCATTAAAAGGGGCACCCTTTCAAGACACGGGCAAGAACACAGCCTCACAGCTGAGGATATCAAGAGGCTAGGGAAATTCAAATGGCTTCTCTCTCACGCAGGTAACAAGCCTCCCTTTACGGAGGGGTTTGCTGTGCATTCCACACAACCTCTGGTCTCCTGAAGTTAAAATAAAATAAGAGATTCTCGGGGAAACTAGAACACCATTTGAATGACAACTTGAGTTTGCAAAGTAAAGATTAAGAAATTCGTCCTAATAGGCAATTCAAGATGGCAGAATGTCCCACTGACCGACTGGCTCACAAAGACAGGTAGCCTTGCTTGTCCCTGACCATCCCTACAGGTGCCACAGGAGGCACAGAGCCCCGCAGGAGGTCGGTGGCAGTTAGCTTACCCCTCACTGTGACCGTTAGCTCTGTCACAGGAATGTTATGGTGCACATCTGGGGGATTCTTCACAGCACAGCTGAATGTCCCGTTGTCTTTGAGGGTAGGGTTGCTGATGCTTATAGAGGCATCCCCTCTGTACACATCTCCAACCCAGGAAATTCGATCCCGAAATGTGCCTGCTGTCGTTGGGTACTGGAAGGACTGGTAATGAAAAATCTAGGAAAGCAAACACCATAAGGAAAGAAAGTTAATTTGCAAAATACAGTGAAAATGTAAAGCTGAGTAGATCCAAAATAAAATACAAATGCATAATGGGCTTTCTAGGTTGGACATTTTTTTTTAATGTTTTGTCCACCTCCATCCTATCAGCTAAAGACAAGTTAATATAACTTATCAGGAAAAGGCCAGACCAAAGAGTCCTAGAATGCTAACTCTTAAAGCCCTTCCAGAGTCTCCCTGAAGTCCTAAGGCAGTAGTTCGCAGCTGAGGGGGCAATTTAGGCCTCCAGGAGGCAGCTGGCAATATCTGGAGACAGTTTTGGTTGTCACAGGTGGGGAGACTGCCGCTAGCATCTAATGGCTAGAGGTCAGGGATACTGATAAAAACCCTAAAGTACACCGGGTAGGCCCCCAAACCAAAGAATTATCCAGCTCAAAAGGTCAGTAGTGCCAAAGCTGAGAAACCCTATTCTAAAGTTGCATCTAATTATTTGTATTGTACCTTATGGTTTGCAAATGATTCCCACAGATTTACCCACTTGAGTGTCATAACAACAGTGAAATATACACAGGGCAGGTATAATGATTCCAGATTTATAGAAACAGAAACAAGGCCAAAAACTAAGTGAGTTACTCAAAGGCACACTGTTAGTAAGTGGGCAAGGGAAGATTTTTGTTTATTTGCAAATATTCTCTTATAACACAGACAAGCCACTCTCGAGCCATCCTGGCAATTAATACAAACCAACCCCAAGTCATATACATGATCAGTACTCAATGAATGTATATTGAATCAAAACGATGCTGCTTCAGATCAATGATCAGACCCTTGGTCACCAAAAGCGCCTCATTATATGCAGGCAGGTACTACAACAATGTGATCTTTCTCTCTGATGCAAGGTTCAAGGCTTTCCTCTTTCTTTGTTTACTCAGCACTTTCCCATTTACAACCACTAAAGTGCCCAATTTGGAAGAGCAGCTTCCCAGAGAAGATGCTAAATAACTTCTCAGTTCATATGTTCATACGTTCATTCAACAAATATTTACAGCACACCTACTATGGGCTAAGCACTGGGTTAAGCAAAGGGATAGAGTGAGAGCCAGATAGGCATAGTCCCTGCTCTCATGAATGTTACAGTCTAATGGGAAATACAGATAGGAAGAAGTAAAAATGTGGGGGTGGGCGTTATGAGAATTAGGAGATACGAGGGAGGTAGGGAGCACCAGCCTGGCTCAGTTGGTGGATCACCAACTCTTGATCTCAAGCCCCACTTTGGGTGTAGAGTAGAGATTATTTAAAAATAAAATCTTAAAACCAACCAACAAACGAGGAGGGAGGTAAAGAATGCCTACCACTGATTATCAGCATCTCTGTAAAAGGGTTTGAACCTCCTGACAGAACAAAGCCTCCTGTGTATTCTTTAAGACTCACCCAACCTCTAAGTTCCAAGTTAAATTGGTAATACTCTAATCCTTGCTAACCGATTAGTCAGATAGACAGAATCCTGACTGACTTGGCCTGAACTGCGACATCACGTAATGTGACTTTAAAAGTCCACTGATTCCAGGTTGGGGGGGGGGGAGGGGCGGGGCACCTGGGTGGCCCAGTCGGTTGAGCGTCTGACTTTGGCTCATGTCATGATCTCACAGTTCATGAGTTCAAGCCCCGCATAGGGCTCTGTGCTATCAGCTCAGAGCCTGGAGCCTGCTTCAGATTCTGTGTCTCCCTCTCTCTCTCTGACCCTCCCCCACTAGTACTTTGTCTCTCTCAGATAAATAAACGTTTAAAAAAATTCTTTTTAATAAATAAATAAAGGTCCACCAATTCTGATTCAGGTGAGGTGGCTGACTTTCTAATCAGCCTCAGAGAAAACAGTACCATATTAGAGCCACTGTTTGCATTTAAGGTTTCTGACCCAGAAGAGCCCCACTGCTTGCTCTGTCCTACTTTTGGCCAAGGAGACAGAGCCAAATGAGGTCAGCTATAGTTTTCCGATGACTCAAGATAAAGTGAACTATGCCGGTCAGATGGGCTAAAATGAACAAATCAGGAGACTTTAGATGCTGGCGAGGATGTGGAGAAACGGGCACCCTCCTACACTGTTGGTGGGAATGTAAACTGGTACAGCCCCTCTGGAAAACAGTGTGGAGGTTCCTCAAAAAATTAACAATAGAACTCCCCTATGACCCAGCAATATCACTGCTAGGAATCTACCCAAGGATACAGGAGTGCTGATGCATAGGGGCACATGTACCCCAATGTTCACAGCAGCACTCTCCACAATAGCCAAAACATGGAAAGAGCCTAAGTGTCCATCAACGGACGAATGGATCAAGAAGATGTGGTTTATCTATACGATGGAATACTACATGGCAATGAGAAACAATGAAATCTGGCCATTTGTAGCAACATGGATGGACCTCAAGGGTGTTATGCTGAGCGAAATAAGTCAGGCAGAGAAGGACAAATACCATATTTGCACATATAGGTGGACTAGGAGGAACTTAACGGAGGACCGTGGGGGAGAAGAAGGGGGGAAATAGTGGGGGAGAGGGAGGGAGGCAAACCATGAGAGACTCTTGAATGCTGAGAACAAACTGAGGACTGATGGGTATGGGGGGAAGGGGGGAGATGGGCATGTAGGAGGGCACTTGTGGGGATGAGCACTGGGTGTTATATGGAAACCAACTTGACGATAAACTATTTAAGGAAAAAAAAAAAGATAAAGTGAACTATGTTAAGTATAAAGGAAGAGGGACTAAGTATACAGCCTAGCTTCCTTCACTGCCCCATTCCCCCGGCTCCGAGCTCTGTGGCACTCAATAATGGGTCCTAAAACAAAACCCAAAGCTCATATATTAAAACCAAAGAGAAAGTTTCCCAGGGAAGGAAACAGGATAAATGAACTAAGGAAACTTTCAAAAATACAGTATGACATTCGCATTCTTAATAGCATCTCTCCTGAACAGAGGATGCTGGCCCGGAAGCGTAAAGAGAAAGCGTTTTTTATAGCATTGCAATCTTCAATTAGACATCAACAATGGGGTCTGGACCATAAATATGTTTTATATGTGTGTATAAAGTATATTGCTTCCAATATTGCCAGGCCATCTGTCACCAACAGCATCTGTCATCATCGCGAGGTGCCACCATCTCCTTTGAAGGGGACTATATAAATCAATGCAGATGTTTATATGCTAGGAGATGGTGCCGAGATAAATCCACAGGGTACAGATATGCAAACAGATACACCCATTGAGACAACGTCATGCCGCAGGAAACGAGTAGCTTTACGAGACAGGATGTCTGTGACGGGGACCTACAGAATTTTTTCTAGCCAGCGGCCTTGGAGGTAATCGTTTTAGTACTTGGAATCGAAAAAGAAGCTAGGAAAACATGCAAAAGGAAACAACAAAGGGGAAATGAAAGCAAACCACATTTCTTCTGAGGTTCTGGCAATTTCTTTTCCGTATATAGCGTATTTACAAAATTCTCCCGTAGAAGACCAAAAAGCCCTCCAGGACCACATGAATCCACGCAGGACAGAACCTCGTCTTTGATTCTAAGATGAGAAGGGCTGAGGTGTGCTGGGACTTGGAGTAAAAGCCTCCAGGGCTGCTGGCCACAGAGGGCTGGAAGAAGTTTCCCGAAGAGGAAACACTCACGGATTCCGTACGACTGCTGCTGGGGGGTCGGTACGTCCAGTCTATGGTGAGTTTGTCAGTGACAGATGAGGTCGACCTGAAGGTGCATTTCAACTTGATCTTCTCTCCAACATAACCCCGGACATGTGCATCCGCTTTAATCTCCAAGCTGTAAACACCTAATCAGAGCAAAGCCCACACGTGTAAAAGGTGTGCCGCCGGGCGGGGGATACAGATGTGAGTGAACAATGCAGAGACACTACCATGTTTAGGGCTCCCAGAGTATTAAGTATCTTCTCGGGCAGGCCCAAAAGGACAACGAGCAGCTATCTGCATTAATCAAGGACAGTGTTTATGTCAGTTTATAGTATTCAGTCACTGCATGAATGCTTGGGTAAAAATCTAAAACCTGATCACACCAGCGTTCTTCCAAAGACAGACTTGTGGTCAAATGAAGTACAAACAAGCGCGTCTGCCCATAGCAGCTGAAAGGTGATGCCACCACCCCCCCCACCTCTGGCAACATACACACACCCGCCCCACCCCCACCCCCTGCCAGGAATTATGGCAGCTGTTGTGGCGGAAGGGACTTATCCCCAAGTACAGCACGGTTGTAACCCGAAGCTACCACTGTATCGACCACCAGCAAAACGAGAACAGGAAACAGGAATAGGACATTTTCTCAAAGAATTTTAGAAAGCTGCCCCAAGTTTCTATCTGTCTGTATTTTATTCTTCCCTCTGGTTAATGAATCCCACATCCATTAAATGTAAATCATGGGGAAGAACACAGAACAAAGCAATGCATCCTGAAATGTAAAAATAGAGGGGCGCCTGGCTGGCTTGGTCAGGTAACCATCCGACTTCAGCTCAGGCTATGATCTCTTGCTCTGTGAGTTTGAGCCCTGCGTCAGGCTCTGTGCTGACAGCTTACAGCCTAGAGCCTGCTTTGGATTCTGTGTGTGTGTCTCTCTCTGCCCTTCCCCTGCTCATGCTCCGTCTCTGTCTCTCAAAAATGAGTAAACGTTTAAAAAAAAGATTTTAAAATGTAAAAATAAGATATCCTTTCTTTTTCTTTTGGTTTTTTATTATTAATTATTTTTGAGAGACAGAGAGACAGAGTGTGGACAGAGAAAGGAGGAGACACAGAATCTGAAGCAGGCTCCAGGCTCTGAGCTGTCAGCACAGAGCCCAACACGGGGCTCGAACTCACGAACTGTGAGATCACGACCTGAGCCGAAGTTGGCTGCTTAACCGACTGAGCCACCCAGGTGCCCCTAAGATATCCTTTCTAAACTCTCTAGAGATTGAACTCTTTTCAAAACTGGCTCAGATATCCAACTTTGGCATCCCAGGTCCCCCAGAAAGAGCTCCCGCTTTCTTCTGACCAATCCCCTCTGCGTTCAGAGAACATGGAGGAGAAATTTCTCTTCCATCAGGGAGCCCCTTTGTAGGAAAGTCACCCGCACTTTGTTTTCACTGCTTCCTCCTGCACTGCGACAAGCCACGTTTTTTCTGGCAGGCCAAAGGTGAACGGCGCCGGAAGGTTTCAGAAGAGCACAAGCCCACACGCCATCCTGAAAGCCAGCAGTCCCTCTGGCCGAGGCAGGATGTGAGCCCCAATGCTGGCTCTGTGGTCTTAGCAAGTCACTTTACTCTTCAGTTTCTCACCCTGATGATGATAACAGCACTTACCTTAGAAGGTCACTGTGAGAAATAAATGAGTTAAAAGAGGTATAACGCTGGAGAGCCTGCCTAGCCTGAATAAGCGCACAGTGCATGTTAGATGGTTTCACCCTTATTCAGGCCACCTCTTCAGGTCTGCCTACACTCTCTCAACGTGCCTGCCACAGACGCAGCTATGAGTCATCAACGCCTTCACCTCTGTCTGCTTCGAGTCCTTCTTTATTGCTCCTCTCAAGATAATCTAGTCTGTTCGCATTCCTCTTTAAAGGAGGAGACCAAGACTGAGCTCACAACTCGAATAAGATCTGACGCATCCCAAAGATGAGGATTACTGCTGTTTCCTCCGTAGCATCCTTCTGGCTTTGCCAGGCTAAATCTGTCGCTCCTTCCATGACTTTGCAAACGCTGTTCATCTGTGTGGAAAGGCTTCATCCCTCAGCCCCTACTCTCTCCTTGGCCCTCACTCCCAATCCACCTTACTCATTACTCAAGAACCAGCTCTAAAAACTGGGAGCTGGGAGTGCCTGGGTGGCTCAGTTGGTTAAGCGTCTGACTTCAGCCCAGGTCATGATCTCATAGTTCGTGAGTTTGAGCCCTGCATCGGGCTCTGTGCTGACAGCTCAGAGGCTGGAGCCTGCTTCAGATTCTCTGTCTCTCATTCCTTCTCTGCCCCACCCCACTTGTGCCCTGTCTCTCTCTCAAAGATAAATAAACATTAAAAAAAAAAAAAACTGGTAGCTGGTGAGGGGCGCACCTGGGTGTCTCAGTCAGTTGAGCATCCAACTTCGGCTTAAGTCATAATCTCACGGTTCGTGGGTTTGAGCCCTGCACTGGGCTCTGTGCTGAGAACTCAGAGCCCAGAGCCTGCTTCAGATTCTGTGTCTCCTTCTCTCTCTGTCCCTCCCCCACTTGTGCTCTGTCTCTCAAAAATAAATAAATGTAAAAAAAACTTTTTTTAACTGGGAGCTAGAAATGGATGGATAGTCTACACTGCCCCCATACTACTCCTTTGTACTAAAATGCAAGTACAGTCGAGAGTTTTAAAAGCATGGATTTAGAATTAGATAGACCTGCCTGACTTCAGTTCTAGCCCAACTACTTTCTAGCTGTAAGATTTTGATCAGTTACCTAACCTGTTCAAGCTTCAACTTCCTCACTTGGGAAATGGGGAGAATGACATGATCTACTGCCTTGGATCACTGCAAGGATCTAATAAGATTAAATAAGGTAACACAAAAAGTGCTTAGCATGGCGTCTGAAATAGAACCTTTCAATAAATATTAGCTATTATTATTAAAGTGAACACCAGAGACCTTCAAAAACCTTCAATAATTCCTTCTTGAGCCGTAGAATAAAATCCAAATAGTGGACAATCTGGCCCTGAACTTCTGCTGCTTCACACACTTACCCCTCCCATCCACCCCCTTCACCATGCCCAGAATGTCCACCGTTTCCCAAATTTACTATGTCCTTTCACACCACGGTGCCTCTCTTTGAACATGGCTTTGTCCGGAAGGCTCACCTCATTCCTACCAATCCTACCTGTTCCTACCACGCCACACCCCACAGGCTCACACACCTTCAAAGCCCTGTTCAAACAGCAGCCCTGTGTGATCCCTTCCCAAATTCGCTGGTGCAGCTGACTGCTCTTTCTTCACTGTTTTCACAACATACAGTACATAATGCTACTCGGGTACATATACTGTTGACTGCCCTCAACTTTTAAAGACTATTTCCCATGTTAAATATAAGCAACTTGAAGGCAAAAATTCAGAGGGAAGGGAGCAGACACAGACTGAGAGAAGAGGTGGACAGGTCACCAGAAATTCTATATAGGAACAATGTGTGCTCACCACTCACCCATTCTCTTTCTCTCCCCCTTTTTACAGTATTTCCAACATTCTTCAGTCCTTCCCACTCCTCTCTGTCCAGTGCACCCATTCAGGAAAAGCTCAGCCCTACGTGACTTCCTAGGCTGTCGCTGGTGTACAGTAAAGGAGAAAAATCATACAACTGCACAGATAGTTACCATAAGAAGTTCATGGAGTCCGCCCATAGCCGAGCCCTTAATGAAGCATGGTGACCCTCTAACCGGCCTTGGCCAGCTCCTCTTTTGGATCCTTCAAACCTCTGCCATTCTCACCATCCCCTATGCAATCTCTGAATCCCTCATTCTCAGAAGAAAATGTTTCCTCTTATTTCTTCAAGAAATGTGAGGCTATACAAACTGCCTGAGTCTACACCCATCCACACTATCCCTTTTCCTAGGCAAGGCCATCCTCTGGTTCTGCCCTGGATCTCTTCCCTCCAAGCCCTGCTTTTCCTGGAGGGAAAAACCCTCTCTACTATCTTCAACCTCTTCCCTTCCAGAGAGGCTCCTCCCCACTCAGCCTCTAAACACAAGTCTCTCCCATCCTTAAGAACAGATAAACAAATAACAATAAAACAAAATAATAACGGTCTTTCCTTAATCCCATAATACTATCTGTTACCAACGACTGCCCTCTTTTTCTTTCCTAAGCGAAGTTTGTGAAAGAGCAGTGAGCACCTGGCATCTCCATTTCCTCGCTTCCCGTTCACTTCTGGACCCCTATAGAACCACTCCCATTTCTGGTAAAGAGCATCATGTCCTAGAACTGGAAAATCCCAGGGATAAAAACTCCAGTAGGTATCTTTCTACCCTGATTTTATCGGATCTCTCTGAAGCAGCGACTGCTTGCTTCTAAAGCTTCTCTAACCCAAGACTTTTTGGACAATACTCTTATTCATTCACTCATTCTTCAAGCATATAATTATTGAGCATCTGTTTTGTGCCACCCTCTGAGCCTGGAATTTAATGTGAGCAGAATAAATACACTCCCTATTTTGGAGCTTAAAATACAGCAAAAGTTCAACATATCAATCAAATTAATCATAGAAACAAGTGTATAATTACAAAGCCTGGTAAGTGCTATGAAGCAAAGACCAAGAGAGTGCAGAAATGCACCTATTATAGTAGGGGAGCAGGGAGTGGTTAATGAAAGCTTCCCTGAAAAAGTTGCTTTTTTGAGTTGAGCTCTGAAGGAAGGATGACAAAGTGAGGAGAAGGAGAGCATTCCAGGTAGAGAATACAGCATATGCAAAGGTCCTGTGCCAAGTAGGAACACAGCCAGCCAAGGAACTGAAAGGAAAACAGTATGGCTCCAACACAAACAGCATGAGAGAAAGAAAGATGAGGCTAGGTGATAAGCAGGTCATGCAGAACCTTCAGGATTTGGGTCCTTATTCTTAGATTAGTGGGAAGCTGGGGAAAATACTTAAATGTAGGACTGAGTGAGAAAAGACATGATAAACTTTTTTTATTTTTTTTTTTGAGAGAGAGAGAGAGAACCCGACAGAGACAGAGAGAAAGGGAGACAGAATCTGAAGCAGGCTCCAGGCTCTGAGCTGTCAGCCCAGAGCCTGACGTGGGGCTCGAACACACAAACTGTGAGATTGTGACCTGAGCCAAAGTT